CTGAATGTCCCTTAACCCGGTTAAAGTAAATGGTCGCTCCTTTTCTTTGGAGTGTTTCAAGAAGGTTGATGGTTTCTTGAACAATAGACAGTCTTGTTCGTAACCGTTTGAACTTAGCAAGTGCTGTTTTGCTGTCACTGAATATATTGATTGTCTTATTGTGTAGTCTTTGATTGTCTTTTATGTAATGGAGAGTCCTGAGAATGGCCAGGCTCTCCACCTGGTTATTTGAGCAATGTTCTTTGAGTCTGTAATTAGCTTGGAAGATGGACCTGTCGTACTTGTTACACATCACCACAGCACATCCTACACCTTCTGTTGACTTTGACCCATCGGTGAAGATTTTTGTATCCACTGTTGCTATCTTTTCAACTCTCCTTAATTTCTGGGCATGGCTTTGCAGGGTGTACAATGTTGCCCCTCTGTGCTGTGTTGAGGTCATATTGTTGAATGTCCCTGATAAGGTCACTCATTAACAGATGGTGGTTGGAAGTCTGCAAACCATCAGCTGATTGTCCAAAAAGTTGATGTTTCCAGTGAATTTTTAAGACATGTAAGTGAACAGGTAGTATGTTTGTGATTATCTGTAAAGCATGTCTGGTAGGCCTTTGCAATGGGGATAAGGTTCATGCATTGTATTGATAAAAGTTTCCTCTTGATATCCTGCTTAGTAGCCACTTTTCCCCAGACCTCTGTCCCATATGTGACTGCAGGCTTGATGGCACACCGGTAAATAGTCCAGCTAGTGTTAGAATTGATCTCCCATGTATTCTGAGAAATGCACCTGAGGGAATGTGTCAAGGGTGATGGCTTCCAGGTTAACATTTCAATGTTTATTCCCAGGTATTTAATGACTGGGCTGTATTTTATATGTTGGCCAGAAAGTTCTATGGCGAGCCTATTAACCAGAGGGTGAAGTCATGGAAATGTGATACAGGCACATTTTGCATATTTTATAAGTAGTTTTCTCTTTTCAGCACATTGGTTTATTTTACTGAGAAGTTTATTCATTTCAACCTGCAGAACTTGATTTTTGTGCCATAAGAACTAGTGTGTTGTCTGCAAATTCAAGGATATTTATCGTGGTATCTCTCAGAGGGGTATCTTGCATTTTGAAAATTTCGTTATACAATGCCAGCCACAAGATGGGCCCCAACCTTGACCCTTGCGGGCACCCTCTGTTTATGTTTTTGATAATGCTGCTGGTTCCAGTCGTAATGTTGGCTATCCTTTCTGATAGGAAGCTTCTATAAAACCCATATATATTCCTGGGGCATTTAATTTATTCTGGAGCCGTGAGGATGGTTGGCCACCACACATGGTCAAAGGCCTCTCAAAAGTCAATTGCCACGGCCAGTGTGTGTTTGTTATTGGTTTTCGCATTGCCAATGATCCCCATCATCTGTTGTAGAGCAGTTATGGTGCTCCTGTGTTTGTGGAAACCATGTTGGTTGTTATGTAGGAAACCTGATTTCTCCATTACAAATTCCAGCCTTTTTGAAAGTAGAGTGTCCAGGATTTTGCCAAGTATTGGCAACAGTGAGGTAAGACTGTAATCTTTTGACCTGGTTGATGGTGTAACAAGTGCCAATGTTGCCTAAGAGGGAGCTGCTGGTGAGGTAAACATCAAGTGAGCTTTTCCTGATTGTTGAAAAGTATGTAGGGAGGTCACTGGTTTTCAATGAGTATAGTTCTCTATAATAATAAAATTATAGGCAGCATAAAAACAAAGCATTTTCATGAAATGTGCTAATTGTGGACTTCAAATTTCACTCACTATATGACTAAATGCCAAAGAAATTGAAATGAGCTGAACTTTGATTAATTTTATCAAAATTACTAATCACTATCTATTCACATTAAAAGTTTTAAGCATGAAAATAACTTGAACTTAATAATTTGTAAAAATTATTGATTTTGCTAAAATGATATTTTTTACAATTTATATATGCCACTCCAATTAAGTTCCAAAACACAAGCAAAATCCAAAGACAAAAAAATTCCACTATAAGTTCTGTAATAATAATCTATATGTATCGTTTGCTTAATATTGTTGTATTCCGAGGATGGTACAGATTATTTTAATATCTGACAATGGTGAAAGATGTAAAACAAGTATGAATGAACCTAAGCAATGAGAAGTGATCTTGTTTCCCACCTTCAGCTTCAGTTCCAAAAAGAATTGTGCAGATTGATCTGGCTATCAAGAATGATTGTCTTAAGCTGAAGTCCTTAACAGAGATGTTTAAAATATTTACCACAGCAAAAAACTGGTTGTTTAGAATAAAACTACATGCTAGATGTCACAAAAACCAGTAAAAGGAATAAAAATTATTTACTTATACAAATGTTTTTGTATGTTTGTAACAAACATCATCAGGTATTGTATAAGAAAAACAGAACAAGTCATTGCATACATTTTAAGTCCAAAGATTCAAAGTAATTTGAAGTGAACATAAATGGTTGTTACCAAGGTAAATAAAATTTGTGAATTTAAAAGTGAATTGTAATGAAAAACAATAATAAAAACATAAAATGAAAGTTCTAGGGGAGTTGTAAAACATGCCCTCCATGCTATGGAGTGTGTCTCCAAAGTTGACCACCTTCCAGTTTTTAACAGCCTAGTAAATCTCAAGCACTTCTAAATATTTCAAATATGCAGTGATATGTTTAAGGTTTCTGTTAGCACCATTTATGACATCATTCATGAAAAGTTAAGATACTGAAACAGTTAATGGATGAACAGACTTCACTGAGAATGTGCATCATCTGGAGCGATTCCACCAAAAGTGGAATGTTTCTTGAGGGAATTCTGACTATCAATGAGTGTTGAATTTCTCACTTTATGTCAGAATCAAAAAATGCCAGTGTGATTTCGAAGCATCCTTCTTCTAAAGAAATTCAAAGTGAAAAACTTCAGTGAAAAAAATTGAAGGTTAGTATTTTGGGATAAGAGATGTTTTGCTTGCAGAATTCCTTCTGCAGGAAAAGACTATTAATTCTGACATATACTGCAGAACTTTGAAGAAGTCCTTTAATGTTATCCATGACAAAAGGAAGCAACATCAGGCTGCTTTACAATGATACATGCTCCCACATTGTACAAAATACAGAAAAAGTTGCAGCCAATGATTGGGAACTTTTGCAATATCTACCCTACAGTCCAGACCTAGTACTTAGTAACTATCAGCCCAATAAAAAAATTTTTGTGGAAAGAGGTTTCAAACACAAAAAAACTGAAATACAGAGTGTATCATTGGCTCAACTTTTGGAAAAATGGTATTTCCAATTCTTTTTGTGAAGCACTGGGAGAGGTGCATAAATGTTTAGTTTTATGTAAAAACATACATCTATACTTACATTTTATTTTGTATATTCAGTTTTGGTTTTGAATATTAATAAAATGCATTACCTGAAAAATTAAAAAAGCATTGCTTTTAAAATATCTTTGTAAATTATATTTTGATCACTTAAATTGCAGTAATATATTTTTCTAAGATTTAAAACAAACAAAAAATATATATAAGTAATATTGAATTTATATAGTATTGCCTTTATTATAAAAATATATATAATGTATAAATGTTATTAAAATGTTCTCAAATTTTGAAAAGAAAATTGGATAAAGTGAATTATTAAAAATATATGAGTATAATTTGTGATCTTTTAATATGTATTGTAATAATAATAATAATTGTAGTACTAATATTAATTATAAATATTTAAAAAATGTATGTAAAAATATGTAAATAATTTCAAGTAAATTAATGTGTAACAAGTGACTACAAATCTTTTGTTTAATTTAGTTCTTTGAAAATCTATTATAAAGCACACACAAAATGTTTTATGATATGGTATAAAACAAATCAATAAATTTGACTTCAGTTATGATCTGTAGCTATAAATTTTCATATCAAATTTACTTCACAGTATAAAATGTCTGATTTTATATATTTATGTTAAAAATAAATGAACAGAAATTAAAATGCACAAAATTCTACTGAAAGTCAGTTTTTAAAAAATCTTATTTAGTTAAAACCAAAGCAATTAGTTGCTTTTTTGAGATTTTGTGACAGTAATTTTTTAAATAGAATTTTGAGTTTTAAATGTTTATTTACGTCAATACATATAACATCATAACAAAAATATAAAAGATTGTGCAACTTCTTTTTGTCTGCTTATTAATAAGGCCATTAAGCTTATGTAATGATGTCATTAGGTAAGGTTAAGGAACCTCATTGGAAGAGTGTACAGACTCCTTAATGTTTTCTTTAAAGGAACATTGATTTTTTACAAATACAAAAAGTTTAAGAATATTGACAAAAAATCAATAGTAAACAGATTGGAAAATTTGATGCATTATATTATTTTAAATAAAAAAATAACCAATAAAACAGTATTGTTTTTTAATTATACATTCTAATTCCAAAGTATATAACTAATCAAATTTTTTTATAAATTATAGCATCAATAACAAAGTATATTTGTGATACTTTGAATAAAACAAGATTCAAATTTATTTGAAATTAAACTGCTTTTAAAAAAGCAATCTTAATAAGAATCCTAATAAAAATATCATTCAAATATGATATTAGGGTTCTGAAGTGATTAATTTCGTAAGTAGTTTCTGAACAGTTTCGAATACCAGTAACCAAATGATATAACAATGTTGTTATGTTGATGATATGATTTCAAGTGATATGACGTAATATCAGGCAATATTTGATGATAAGATCATCATATATTTAGAGTTTAAAAATAACTATTTGAAGACCATTCAACAATAATTCATATAACTTTTACACTCCAATAGTTCATATACAAAATAAATGATTGTGAATGATGATGTTTTATATCTATTTTACATATAAACTATTTACATTATATATTTTTATAAATATCATTTTATATGATATTTAGAATGATTAAAATATTTTGTGCATGAAATATATAATCTTTATTAAATTATTTACATTTCTTAAATACAGTAATACTTTCAGGTCAAAATTTGTTGTCAGCGATGATGATACAATACTTGTGAATTGCCCCTTAAAGTTATTGGAAAATATTAATTTAGAGGTTTGTTACTTATTATTTGATTTATTAAGTGTATCTTTTTCAAAGTTTATTACAGTACCAGTTATAGAATTATTTAATTTAAATATTCATAATAGTTTGAAAAATTATACAAGTAGTCCTTGAAATATGTGATTTTGATCAGTGCAGGTTTCAGTTATGCAGGGTCTGTTATGAAGGAAGTTCAACATTGCCAGCTCAAAGACTACAGAGCTTGCAATACTAAACTGATTCCTTTTCCCCACTCCTGCTCACCATTAGTTAGCAGGAAAAAATGAACCTTAGTTTTCCTAGTGCAGTGCTCTTATTTGGATAATTTAATTTATATTCTAATATATAAAGTAATTTCTGCAAACACTTCTGATCAATTCTTCAGCTTTTATAGAAACTTTTATAATGAAACTAGCAAATGAGTTCAACATAGCTTGGGCAAAAATAACAACAAAGATTAAGATTATCAGATTATTTTATATTTCTAACCTTTCTACTATATTATATTACAAGTTTGGACACGTGCACTGTGTATCTCGCCAACTATGCGACTGCACCGCTCGGATACCTATCTCGTATACATACGCATCTTGCCCCTCGCCACCCACTAACACCAAAAATGTAATGCTTACCTAGATGATATCTTTTAATTTATATGAAGGTTTAACGGAATAACACACAGCCTATGTCCACCTTGAAGGTCCATTCTAAGTATTGGTGAAAGAATTTTTGAAATCGGATGAGTAGTTTTGGAGATTACCTCCTACATCCAAACTTACAAACTTTACCTCTTTATAATATTAGTATAGGTAAATAAGGCATTGTGCCTGTGTCATAGTCAGTTTCTCTTAATTAGATAAATATCAGCATTTAACCATATTTAGTGATAGTTTACAGTAGCAGAAGAAACCAAAGGGGAATAACTCAAAAATTAAAAATATGATAAGTAGTGTTGTCACCTTTTCAAAATCGCTGACCCAGACAGCAGGTCAGGTTTGTTCAAACACAAGTTCCTGATACATGTGCAATGTCATTTTACAATGCAAAGAATAACGTGCATGCTGGTTCTAAATCAGTTACAGTTAGGGACTTGGGACTTTTTTTTTAACTCTTTCTGCCCTGTGGGCACTAAGAGGGCCTCTTATGGCAGGCCCATTATGGGTTCAGCCAAGCCCACAATGGGGCGACCAGTAGTGAGGAACAGGGCCCAACATATCCGAACGGACCACCCCCAAAAAATTCCTAGGGATTTCTCAACCCATCCAGATTCAATCCCAGATCCCCCAGAGCAGTAGGCTGCCACCTTGACCACTCGGCCATCCGGGACTAGGGACTTGCGTAGGAGTAATGTAAGTAACCCTAAATTAAGAAAGAACAGGTACAGATGACTTAGCGCTATTGAATATACGTCTGGTTAGTCTGACTCTAAGTCTGATTAGTTAGAGTGATTAAATTAACTAGGTGTATACCGTAAAATACGTTGATTTTTGTCTAAATTTTGATTTTTGATTTCTGTAAGATTTTCTTATTTTTTATTAACCCTCAATACCAAAATGATCCCAGGATTGAATAAGTATAATCCCGAAATCCCGGGATTAGAAATAAGGACCGGGATCGAATTCCCTAGTCAGGATTACCACTTACAAGAATCTATTTATTTGCATAAAGAAATGCTTACAAAATTTCAGCCTATTTGTCTCCTAGGAAAGACTCAGTTCATAATATTGTTCTAAATAGAGTTCAGAGAGGGTTCAAACGTCTCTGGTTTAAGTTGATAAGTTCCTCGACAACTAATGGTTGATGAATCAATGGCCCCAAGGCTTGCTTTTTCCAGTTGAATTTTGGATCAGGTGGGAACTTGGAGTTGACTGAAGTGTGCATCCAACAGTCATCTACTTGTAAAGCATAGAACGAGGAATTTAAAATTTTCTCACTAGAGCATAACTCTTGAGAAAAGCTGATCAGCTGGAGAGGATGGATTACAGAATAAGAACTTTTTATAAGTAGGCTTTTAATCCTTTAGAAAAGAACACAGATCTTAGAGAAAGAACCATGTGACCTTGAGACATGAGTTTTTAAAGGGTTCTCTCCCTTATCCAAATTCTGATTGATTGATGATACCTTCAACACTTACTTATTAGTCCATTCTTGTCTCCAATTGACAATTCTAGATCTTTCAGGCCACGGGAGAGGTCAACATCAACATTCAATCTGATGCCATTTCCTGATGCTGATCAGATAGTATTTACTGAACTTTGAAACCTTTTCTTGTAACTCAATCCTTTTGTGGTTATCTTTTTGACATCAAGAATTTATAATTGTCCTTACAAGACATTATTTAATTAAGTAAATCATTTTGCTATATTGATGTTTAACTTTGTCATTTTTTCATTCAAAAAATGGGACTTTAACTGCCCTGTCAGACACTCATTAACATTCTAGCATGAAATTTAAAATTTTGTCTAGGACCTGACATTTTTGACTCTGTGACTAAGTTTATTTTACTTGATTTATTTTTGAGAAACAAAATTATTTGTAAAAATACATTTGGTTCTTTAACTGTTCCTGCTAGAAAATTTGAAAAATCCATCATTCTGTGATACATTTTGGGTGGCAAACCATTCAGTTACATTTAACCTGCTTGAATTTTCTCTCTGGCTTTTGTTTTTTAAACTAATACTAAATGGTTTTGCAGTTCAGTCCAATGGTTTGCTTATTCTGTGTAAAAGACTGTAAGCTAAATTCAAATTAGAAAATATTCAAACAACAATAATTAAATATGAATATGTAAATAATTATGTTTACATAATGCAATTAAAAATTATGGAAAAACTTAAAATATCAATTTTTATATTTCCTACAGTATTTATATATGGAGTGTCCTTAAAGTCCATGTTCAATTTTAAAAATTTATAACTTTATTAGTAATTGTGATTGAGAAATTATGTATTGGTTGTTCGGAAAGTAATTTCGTTTTTTTTCCGTGGAAAAAAAAAATATTTTTATAATAAATAAATATTTTGTTGAATTATTTATCGACCATTTTGGTCAAATATTTGTTGTCATCATTTCTGGTAGTAGCATGATTTCACATTCATAAAAGTTTTGATCATTGCTTACAAAAAACTGATCCAAGTGATTTCTGACATTGTCATTTCAAGTAAATGTCTTGCAGTTAAAAAAAATTGTATAGACCGGAACAAGTAATAATCTGAGTGTGCTCGATCTGGCGAATATGGTTAGTGTGATAGCACGTCCATCTAAGTTATAACAGTTTCTGATGAGTTACCAAACTTGTGTGAAATTTGACATTATCGTGGTAAAACACTACACCTGTTTTGTTGATCAATTCTGGCCGCCTTTTCTGTTTAATGATATTACTCAATTTATTTACTCAATGGCAGTACACTTTTGAATCAATTGTTAAATTGTCTGGTAAAAGCGCCGAAAAAAAATTTCCTTAAAATCCCACCAAAGATAGCATCTCACCTTAAGAACATGTGGAACTCATATATCAAGCTTTGAAACAAAACCAATTTGTTTCAAGTAATCATAAACAGTTCAATTTGACAGATTTAATCTCTTAGTGATTTCACATGTTGTTATTTGGCAATTTGCTTCAATCAGTACCTTTATTTTGTTTTTGTTGGCTTCAACTGGCCATCCAGAACGTGGTGCATCTTCAATATTGAAATTGCCAGAACAAAATTTTGTTCTGGCAAATATATATAATACTGTAGTGTAGTGTAGTAATATGTATAATACTGCAGTGTAATGTAGTAATATGTATAATACTGCATATATAAATACTGTAGGAAATATAAACAGTTTTGGCACTGTCGTTCTGTCAATACATCTTCTTCATACACGTCACACAATTTTTTTTTTGCTTGAACAGTATTCTTACCTTTTTGGTAATAAAAGAGCAAAATATGCCAAAAATGCTGCTTTCGATCTTCCATATTTGATGGGAAACAAAAAATAAACAATTGCACAAAATCAAACAAAATTTTTACAAATAAGCCTTAAAATGCTAGCTGTCAAAATATATAATGATAATACGGTTTAGAATGAAAATGGTGGGAAAAATATGACTAATCCATCTAGTGGTAAAAAAAAACGAAATTACTTTCTGAACAACCTAATAGAATGTAGTGGTAATAAGAAAATCTATATTTTTTTATTGTTTTATTAAGTTTCCACATGCCACCATTATTAGTAATACAAAAGGGTAATACAATTTTGTAGTTCTCTAAAAACATTTGCCAATTTATTTACAGTAATGCCTGAAATCACAATAGTTATTTTAGCTTTCAAGTCTTCTAACGATAGAGGTTTGGTTGCATACGAGATTTTCATGTCCCCATAAATAAAATCTAATGGAGTCAAGTCTGGCGAACGGGGAGGCCAAAAAAAGTGGTCCTCCTCTTCCAATCCTAATTTTACTTAAAACTAGGTATATTAAGCTTTCTAATACTTCTTACAGATTTTTTTTCTATTATAAATACTAATAAAGTTATACATTTTTTAAAATTGCACACAGACTTTATGGACACCTGTATTATGACATTTGAGATTTTAATGTTTAATTTCAAATAATCAATATTTAACTAAATAAAAATTATTTATATTGATTTTTTTAAACAGTTTTTCATGTATCAACTACAGCTATTTTTATTTTATTATAGCAACCAACAAGCCATATTTTATATGAATCTTTGTTAGCTTTTCATAATGAATATGGATGTGGAGTAAACTCATTCTTATTAATGTGGAGTGGTTGGTTTCGCTCTATAAAGAAATTGTTAGAGAGAGTAAGACATTTCAAATGTTTTTCACTTCATGACATATATAAACCTTCTTAAATATTATAAATTTATTTTTGGTTTATTCAAAAACTCAGTTCAAATATTTTTTATGATTACAGGAACCAACTTATGTAAACATCTTTGAAGAATTAATAGCAGGATTGGAATATGTCATTAATTTCATAAAAAGTCAAGAAATTTCCTTGTCAAATGTAGTTCCTTTAGTTTATAAACATATAAGAGAGATAACTTTAACAGATCAATTAAAAGATAGAAGTTCAAATTTTTTAAGTGGCATATCTATGAAAACTTTATTTAAAACTGAAACCACAAAGAGCATTAACATAATGAAACAAAGTCGTCATTTATGTCAATTATTAAATGCAGAACTGTCTGAGGAAAATCATCAATTAGAAGAGAGGGCATTTAAAAATTCAAAAAGGTTAAATGACAACATTATAAATGAACTGAGATTTTTATTAGAAAAATTATCTCATGGTTGTGATGCTCTTATTCCATTAATTATTGATGTATGGAAAAAACAGATTCAAGAATTTTTTTCTGTAAGGTATAAAATAACTTTTTATTTAAATATCAAATTGATTAATATTAAAAACCAATAGTGCTCATATCAGTATAGATCATTATTGGTTATGATTTATAGTCATCGTGTTGTTCATAATCAGTAATGAGCTATATCAAAATTTTTGCATTCATGCCAAACTATCCAATTTAATGTTATCTTGACTCAAGAACTATATTTCACTTCCATATTATGCCCAGATATTTTATAAATTTAAACAAGAAAACAATTCTCCTGAATAAACTTCAAACAATACAAAAGAAAAACTCTTTACAGTATAATCCAACAATAATTTTTAATGAATGATTATTTTCATTTGAGTGATTTATGTTCAAAAATTGATAAAAATTATATTCCTTGTAAGGAATTTTTCACACAAGAAGAAAATGGAAATATAAATAACCAGGCAAGTGTAGATTCAACTGATAAAAGTGCAAACAAACACATCAATATTTTACAATACACTCAATCAAGAGTACATTAAAGTGTGTTTGCAACAAACGAACAGCACATGAACAATACTGATAACCAGGATTTGGTTATTTCAGAATTAAGGAAGTGTGAAAATAACAGTTATTGTTGGTCATAACCATTTATAAATACTTATCAATAAAATGAGATGAAGCAGAAGAAGGAAGAAGAGTGAAGAATGGGAAATAAAATGGATTTGGAAAGAGATGGTTGGCCATCAACTAAACTAAAAATTCAAATAAATTCATTTCCTTCAGTTCTGATGACTTCCTGACTGAGAAACTCCACTACTAGATTCTTTTGAATGGATTCTTGCCCAATTATCATTATATAGAAGACAGGTGAAAATTATCTTTTTGTTAGATCTACAGCCTCTTCTTTTTTTCAAAGTTCTTACTTTTATCAAGAACATTACTATAAAACCTTACTCAGACTCAGTGGCGGCCTTAGGGGGTGGCGAGCAGGGCAATCGCCCGGGCCTCGCGCAACAACCAAGTAGAAAAAAGTTGATATTTAAAACTTTTTATTTTATCCTTGGATATTAGTTATAANACATTAATTACACCCACCTATAAAAGAAAAAGGATTCAATTATCTTATCCAAAATGTGGATAGTCTCCCAACACTTCTTAGCCACAAGTACACTTTTAAGGAAAAAAAACCAAATGCCACCTTTCGGCAAAAACGAATACTCCAATATGCAAAATAAACAACGATGTACATCACTCCGTACAAGGGATCACTAAAACAAAATAAAAAAATCAACAAAGATTACCTAAAAATTGTCAGAATATTTATATCAAATAGAATTATTATAGAAAAATACTGATTTCATAAAAAGAATTAAAATTGAATATTGACTTTGCTACATTTTCAGTCATTTTGTATGTTTGCTATGCATAAAGTAATTTCCAACTAATAAGTGAAAGATATTTTTTCAGATTTTAGTTTTGTGCTTATGACAAGAATGCTTAGTCATTGTATTATTTTGCTTACTTTTATGTTTACTAACAATCATTTTTAGTAAACATAGAAGGTTGACCCATTATATTATATGTATTGAATATGTCTATTCTATAAAAGTTCTGACTGGCAACAAACCATAACAAAGATGTATAAAACTTTTCATAATTACCTTATTGCATTTTAATACTTTGTCTACATACGTTTTTTTTCTCCATTTTTTAAAATACTGTAAACTGCATGAAAAGTTTACAGTATATTGTATAGCATAATGCTATAACTGCTTTCTTTAGGCTTATTAGAATAACACAAATGATTTTTTTAATCAAAGCAGATGAAGAAATTTGTGTGTAACATAAAATTTTATAATTTGTTAAACAATCAAAATAATGTTGAAAAAACAAATTAACAATATTTTGCACAAAAATATTTTTATGCAAAATGTTTAATTATTTGTCTATTTTAAATGCAAAGTAACATTGATTTTTGCACTTTTAATGCTATTATGAAGAAATGAATCAATCATGCAAGTCTTAGAATGTTTAAATATGTTGGATTTTCATTGCTGGTTATATATTAAATAGTGTTATAACAAATCTGTTGAAACCACTCAATTTATTTTGTTAAAACAGATAAAGAAACAAAAGTAAATTTAAGAAATTTTTATTTGAATATAGTCATACAAGTACTTCTGATTACAAAATTTTATTTTTTGATTAAGAAGTCTTATTATAATTTTATTAATATCATTAAAGATGACATTTTCAACATTACAATGAAACTCCTCATAATGACCACTTTTGTCTGAAAAGCAGTTCCAAGTCACTTTGCACAAGAGTTACTTTTGTGCAAAGTAAAGGAGGAATTTGAAAAAGAAATTGAATTGCAAAAAATGTCATTCTTAAAACAAATACAGTCGACTCCCCTATAACACGGGTTCCTATAGTTCGGATTCCTATATGATGGCGAAAAAATTGTGATGGTATCAGTACAAACATGGTAAAAAAAACTCCTATAATTCGGTAANAACACGGGTTCCTATAGTTCGGATTCCTATATGATGGCGAAAAAATTGTGATGGTATCAGTACAAACATGGTAAAAAAAACTCCTATAATTCGGTAAAACGTCATCGGGCAGTCGAACTAGTTTCCGCCGTCCAGCGCCATGCTACGGAGAATTTAGGTGGGTAAATTGAGTTATATATAATACTGTACAGATGATAGTAAAATTATATATAGATTAGGTACTGTACATATAATTATATATTAATTATATATAAATTAGGTACTGTATATATAATTATATATTAACTTAATTTATTGTAACTTTATTATAATTATATATATNTAATAAGTGCCTAAATAAAATTTCTTATTTAGATTTATTCACTCTCACATTCGTATAAAAATAAGATTAACGATATCAAAATTAATTAATTTAACAGTTAATAATATTTTATGAAATTTGACTGTAAAACACATTTGAAAAATTCATTACTATTTGAATCTTACACCTTGAGCATTAGAAAACCCACTTGAATGCGTGGTTTTGTTACTTTCGTGATTCATCATGTTTACGATTTACGCTCGGGGAATCCCTGTGTTTCATTTCGTTCATCAACTCTTGTCACCTGACGCTATTTTTGCTAGCGCTGTATGCGTTACATAATCGTTCATATATATCTTTCAGTAGGTAAGTAAGCATTAAATGATATTAAGTTTCAGTGACTCTTAGATTATTAACAGTACTTATAGTAAAGAGTGAACTGTAAAAAAACTGTGTAAAATTGCTTGTAAAATATTTCTGAATTCGTTTTATGTGTAAAACAAGATTTATGAAATGAGTTCACGTGATCATGATGCCAGTAGAAAATTTGAGTCTGGTAGTTCAAAAAGGAAACAAGCTATCAAAAGAAAGCAGATAGAAGAAAAACTACGTGGGTCTTTATATAAATATATAAAAAGTGATGGTCAAGAAACCTCTAAAAACCCATCATTGACTGAAAGTGACACATTATTGCACTGTAACCTTAACCCAGCTGAAATTATTCCTTCAATGTCGTCATGGGTGCCACCTAGTAACAATAGCGAGGATAATGAGTCAACAACATCATTGTCTCACACCACCGCCGCCATTGCCTTCGTCAACACTATCCAGTCAAGAATACATGTCTAAGTCTATGTCTACATCCATGACTGGCAGAATTGAAAATCTGAATCCTCAAAATGACCCAGGTTTGGGGCCATTAACAATTACTGATGTAGACCGAACTGAGATTGTATTAAAAGGTCCAATCCGGGTTAAAGTTGATTTTTTTCTCATAAATGATAATGGACGACGATTCAGTGAATATCATTACAGTAAAATATTAGCTAATGGTGGAAAACTTGACAGGCACTGGATGATTTGTTCACAAACAAAGGATGCCGTTTACTGCTTTCCATGTCGAATGTTCAGACTAGAAAATACAAGAATTGGATCCAGTGAAGGAGTGTGTGATTGGAAACACTTGGGTGATTACCTAAAGTCTCATGAACCTAGCCGACTGCACAAAGATTGTATGTTGAAATGGTTAAATTTAGAAAATGGGTTAAAAAACTGTACCACTATTGACTCTTTAGCCCAGACTCAAATTGAACAAGAAAGGCAGCATTGGAGAGATATTTTAGAAAGACTACTTGCAATTGTAAATTTTTTAGCATCTCACAATTTGGCCTTCAGAGGTCATAGAGAGAAAATAATATCTGACTCAGATTCAAGTGAGACTAGCGGCAACTTTATAGATTTAGTAAAGTTAATAGCCCAATTCGATCCAATGTTGTGACTTCACCTAAAACAAGTAACAGACAAGATGACTAATGACCACTATCTCAGAAAAAATATTCAAAATGAGCTTATACAATTAATGGCAAGTCACATGAAAGCTCAAATTGCTGACAAAATAATAAAGAATAAATATTACTCAATTATTCTTGATTGTACTCATGACGTTTCTCATGTTGAGCAACTGTCAATTATTATAAGATTTTTTAATACAAATACAGCTGACATTGAAGAACATTTTATTGGCTTCTTAGCCGTGGAAAAAACACAGCTGAGAGTTTGACTAATTATATAATCACAGAGCTAGAACAGTTGGGTATATCATTGCAAAAATGCAAAGGCCAAGAATATGATAATGGAGCCAATATGCATGGAGAAAAAAGTGGTGTCCAGAAACGTATACTTGAAATTAATCCACTTGCTTATTTTTTACCTTGCGGGAGTCACAGTTGGAATCTCATCCTAGGAGATGCAGCATCCTCTTGTGTTCGAGCAAAATCTTTTTTTGGTTTGCTACAAAGGCTGTACACTTTGTTTGCTGGCTCGAGTCAGAGATGGGCTATTTTAAAAGCACATGTAAAATCCTTATCGCTAAAACCACTTTCCGAAACTAGATGGGAATGCAGAGTAGAATTGTTGAAGGCCGTTTAATACCAACTAAGCGATATATGTGATGCTTTGAAGGATTTAACAGAAAATACAACAGATTGTCAGTTGGTTAGTGAATGCCATTCTGTAGAAATGGAAATAACTACCTACGAATTTGTAGTTGCTCTCGTTGTATGGTATGACATTCTTACAAAGATAAATGTTATAAGTAAAATGTGGCAGAGCAAAAAAATGCACCTAGATGCGGCTATACAACACCTAGACACATTTACACATTGGCTTGATAATTATCGGGAAAACGGTTTCCAATCATCCTTGGTAACAGCGAGAGAAATAGCCAAAGAAAATGATATTGATAGAAAGTTCAAAGTCGTGAGAAGGAGACATAAAAGAACGAATTTTGATTATGACCAGAAAGATGAAGCTCTTGAATTGCCTAAGGAAGAGATTTTCAAAATAAACTATTTTTATATCATTGTCGACAATGTGCGCGCAAGCTGCCAACCTAGATTTGAGGCACTTAAACATCATGAGGGCATATTTTCATGTACTGTATAACATAAAAAGATTAAAGGAAATTAGTGATTGTGAACTTTTGAAGTAATGCAGCGACTTGCAAATATCTCTAACAGTAGGAGAAACATCTGATATTGATGAACATGAATTGTATGAAGAACTGAATATGTTTATCCATGTATATGAAGGAAACGACGGCATTATCTTGGTGCTGAAATATATAATAGAAAAAAATTTAACTGAAGTGTACTTCAGTTAAATTCAGGTATTTTTGTATTTTCCAATTTACAATTAACATTAAATATTTTAAATTAACATTAAATTTAATTTAATTTACAATTCATGTAATAAATATTGTACATACTGGTTTAATAAATTCTCAGTGAGCTTTCAAATTGATTGAAAACTGTGATGTGATAAGCCCTTAAAATTTATAGCAAATTACATATAGCTGTTCAGAAGATTTATTACAATATTGGACAAAAAGCAATAAGTATAATGTCATTTCTGTTGAACAAGTCCAGCCAAACAGAAAAGATAATTAGTGATAAGCCAACCACCAATAAAACAAAGAAAGTACAGAACAAAGGAACAGACACGCATGATGAATGTAATTTATACTATATAAAAAACATAAAAATGCCAGACTGGTAAATGGCAATAAATTGCCACACACTAGTTTTTTATTTTTTGTTGTTAGTGGTATTATATCTTAGGATTAAAGAAAAGAGAATCAAGTCTTTAGTTCCATATAATCCATTTAAAATATCACTGTAGTTGAAATGTCTAATGAACAATTCGATCTACATGCATATTTTCTATTTGATCCTTTTAGTTAAACAAAAATATCAAATGGAAAATAGTATTTAAGTGGAGATATTTAAATAAAACATTATTATTAGCAAGTATTCCTATTAACACTGTCTAGAGCTGGGGTCGCCAAACTTTTTTAATCATTGACCCCCTACAACTTTTCGAAACCTCACATCAACCCCACCAAAAAGTTTGTGTTACAAGCAAAAAAAAAGGCTCTTACTATTTTAATATATATCTTTCAATTTTACATTTATTGTACTGTACATATGTTAATAATAATTTTTGTAACTGACAATCAATGAGACGGATAAGTTTAATAATCCTTAGCAAGATTAGCAAATTCGGTTCAAAATTTGTAAGTTTTAGTCTTTTCATCGACCCCCCCAATAATGTTATATCGACCCCTGGGGGTCGATTTAGACCACTTGGGCGATCCCTGGTCTAGAGATATGTTTAACAGTCCAAATGCAACTAAATTTGGTATTGTGACATTTCAGGTACATGGAAGACATTTTCATTAAAAAAAATAGTATCAAAACTAGAATGACTATGTTGTTTTAACTCCCAAACTAGGCCAGTTCCAGTTTTTAAGAGTGAATGAAAAATAAATCTAAAACTAGCTAAACTTGGATTATTTTTTAAAAATTATTTTTATATAGGCCTATAAATTGGTTATATACATTAGAAGACCTATGAAATTGTTTTTTAAAATTTTTTTTCTATTTTTGAGAGTTAAAAAGAGGAAAAATCTGGGGCTGTCCTGTTCAAACCAGGATGTACAGTACACTCACTCTAATCAAAATGCCACTACGGTACTTTTATTACTTTAGATCATAATGTATGTGATTTTTGGTTTGGTGGGGACAGTTAAAAAAATGTTTTGTTGAGGACACATTGCAAATTTGAAAGACGGTATCACACTACATGTGAGAAGTATCAAACACTTAATACACTGTTTGCCTTCAGGTTTTACATCTTAAAAATGGAGATCAAATTGAGCAGTATTCCCTGTACTGCTAAGATACTGCAACAGCAAAACAGGAAGTACTCCAACCTCTGTTGTACAAATAAATTGTTTGTTGCTTGTAGTACAAAAGTGCCATATTGATGAGTTTTGGTAGTAATTTTGTTTTATACAGAAATGTTTTCCTTGTGTCCTGAAATGTCACCATACCAAATTTAGTTACATTTAGACTGCTAAATATCCCTCAAGACAACATTGATTAGGCATACTTTAACTACAATCATCTGGTATGTTTTTATTAAATGAAATAAAATAAATTTTGTAATAAATTTATTTTATTTTTTATTACAGTAGACCCCCTATAACACTAGATAATTCAGTGTTATATGAATTCCATGTTGTACGAGTCACTTAGATTTTACAAATACATATGCTGGGCTGTGAACAGCTCACATATTTGTAAAATCTAAGTGACTCGTACAACATGGAATTCATATAACACAGAATTATCTAGTGTTATAGGGGGTCTACAGTATTTTTATTTTCAAATATCTGATATTTATTATTTTTTTTTTAAACATTCACAAAACTTTTAAGTGCAGTGAACTATTAATTAATCTACAATAATTCTTCAAATCTTTCAATGTTCCTAAAATGTTTAAACAAGTAATCAATTTTTAATTGCATAGATTTAAAAAAGAATTTATCATGACATATACCATTCCTGGTCAGAGTTTTAGTTACAGTTTTGTTGTTGATGGAATTGTAGTCAAATGTCAAGAAAATTATAGAACTCTTCTCAGTGAAAATAAATCTTACAATGCATTAGTAAGTGTTTTTAATTTATTTATATGCATATAAATGATTTAATTTCCTTGAAACATTTTATTTAAACATAAAAATCTCAATTATAAAAATTTAACTACTATTAAATATTTAAATTGAACTTCTTTCAACAGATAATAAATATTCTTATCATAACATAATCATAAAATTAGGAACAGATTTATGGGTGGGCATCCTGGTACATTTTCAGGGACCTCCACATAAAGAAAATAAAAATGTAAATGAAAAAAAAAAAGTAAAAAATGATTTAGGAAATTAAATATAACAGACCATATTTAGGAAATTAAATATAACAGACCATATTTAAAAATACCATATAAATTTAAAGTAGAGAATGCTATAGTAGAATATGCACGAGTATTAATCACTATACAGACCTCCACAGCTGTAAGTGCCCTGGGACCCCACAAATAAATCTGTCCTTCCATAAAATACTGATAAGTATAAAAATTATTTACCTTTTAAATATTAAATCAGCTTGTTGGTGGTGATGTTATTCCAAATTATGTTCATCTTGGTTTCACACCTAAAGTTAGTATTGAAAATATTACAAATGAAATTCCTGTTACAAATGATTCATGGTTAGAAAGAGTCATAGACACCATTAAAAAGGTATTTTTTTTTTCAAAATAAAAGAGTAGAACTTTTCTTATAAACTTAATATTGTTTTATTGAAACATTTAGCTGAGAGTGAGTTTATTGCTTGTGCAAGGAAGAGTTAATGAAGATCTAATTTATTCTTTAAAAAATTCAGTTATTGTCGTTAAACATGTTCCTTATTCAACTTTAAAACTTCTCTCTGACTGTACTAAAGCAAACATTGTGTCATATTTGGACAATAGCAGAGATGTGAGTATATATTAAATACAGGTGGTTATTTTAATCACTTAAATTAATTTTCAATATCAATTATTGATTAAAATAAATTCAATATCAAATTATTGATGTTTAGATAAATACTTGTTCAGTTACAATGGAAGAACTTCACACAAATAAAGATGTTAAAAATGGATGTAAGCATATTGTTATTAAAGTTGCAAATAATTTCATTCAGGTAATTAAATCATTTATAGTTTTTTTTTAACATAAAATTTAAAATTTTATTGTAATTTTATCATTTTATTAAAAAATAGTAATATTTTTCAGACTGTAGTCATCTACCATGAATTATTACAAGCAGCTAGTCAGTTGGAACATCAATTTTGGCATTTGGCTAATCGTCTTTCTCATGTCTGCAATGCTGAAAAAATTCTTAGAGGAAATGGCCAAATTGAAAAGATCTGTATGGAAAAATTATACCAATATGCTGAAAATCATTGTGGTAAGCAAAGTTATATAGTTATTTTATTAGTATGTTTATTACAACAAATAATTTTTCAATTCAGATACTGAAAGATTTAATCATAATAACCATTTTTTAAAAAGGTGATGAATACTTACAACGTGTGGATATTTATCAAGTTTTAGCAGAAGGATTTGAACATTACATTCACAGTATATGTAAGGTTGTGGATATAAATGATAAAAATTTGAATGAAATATTTATTGCTTATGATGAACTTCAATCTAAAGTTGAAGGATGGAGAGCTGCTTTAAGATTAGCAATTTTAATGGTCCAGATGGATACATTAATTATAAATAGTTCTTCAAATGAACTAAATAACAAAATTAATTTAAAAAGATGCATAATTGGTGAATTATAAATTATTATGCTGTATTAATACAAACTATATTGCATATATTGGATAATAATATAACTACCAGTTAACACAAATTTATTCCTGTTCTATATAAATTAATGAAATATTTAAAGTGAATAATGTAAAATTATTTATATTTTTGTATCTATAATTACACTAATATGAAAGATATTAAATAATTTTAGTATCAAAGTAGGTTATGTATAAAAATATACAGAACGTATATTTGTTGAGGACACATTGCAAATTTGAAAGACGGTATCACACTACACTACTATCATAATTTTTATACAAACAAAATTTGTTTGTATAAAAATATTTGTTTGTATAAAAATATAGCGGTCGCATTTGTTTGTATAAAAATATTTAACAATAATATTGTTTCATTTAATTAGCAATAAAAACTCTATTTTATTTGAATGCTGATTCTTTTATATATTCTTTTGCATTAGCATAACTGCTAATATAAAAGAATGCTAATACAATTTATTAAAGTTAATAAAGAGAGCAAAAATATTTTTCTTCAAATTCAAGAATCACTGTAATTGGAACATATCTTGTTATACAGAAATTGATTGCAAGATTTTTTCTGTTTTGCATCTTATAAAATTGCATACATCTATGATGATATGGATGATACTTGTATATTTTATACTTTTTTTGGGGGGATCAAGTTGATCCATCACTGTATCTTTGATTTTGTTGTTCTGAACAAGTTCTGTCCTGTCAACTTTTTGTTAGTATTTATATGTGCTGCATTCCAATTGTAAAATTATCTGCTTTGAAACAGAACAGACTGTTGGCCCTCCCTTGCATAGAAACTGCATATTTTTTTCCTGTCACATTGTGAACTGTTTAGTGCTAATGCTTGCTCTATATTCCTGTCCCTTTTCATCTACCTAAGTCATCCCTGGTGCTTTCTTCTTGCTTTAATGTCTTTTTCTTCTCTTTTCTTTTATTTAGCCTTAACCTAAGTAGACTTTTCTTTCTTCAATATCAATCTGTTTGTAAACAGATACAACTAAATACATTTTTTGCTATTTGCAACAAAGTTATCATGATCCAAATTTTATTGATTTTATATTAAAAATAATTATTTGATCTGTATGGTTTCTTTAAAGATGTAAACAATTTTTTTAGAAAGTCTAATAAATTGAATATAAATCATTTTGAAAATAATATAGTAATTTTTTACAAATTATTATTGTGTGTTCCTAAATAAATTTTGTTGGAAAAAATTATTTCTGTATTTAATAATTTATACAGGGTGAAACAAAAGTCCCCTTGCACCCTTTTCATTCCAAAAGTACTGAAGATAACTATATTAATAAAATTAACATATCTAAAAAGGCATGAATGGAGAATTGGATAGGACCGTTTTTCCATTGACATTGAAAATAATTTTCAAAAGTCAACTATGTTGTAATTTGATAATAAGCAGATGTAACATAAAACTGTTGAAACCATTAAATTGATGAGTAGAAGTGATTTCTTTACAAATAATTACATCTAAGTCAAAGATAACTACAAACATTTTTAAATTTTTGTAATTTGACATATGGAGAAATTAAAAGTTTTGCAATTACATTTGAATCAGAAGTAACTTTTTCCTATAAATGTTTTTCCCCTTATTTCTTTCCGGAAATCTTTCAAGATGAGAATAAAATATCCTTGAAAATACTTTATTATGACTTGTAGAGAAAACTGTTTTTTTTTTTTTCATTTATAAAATTATTTAGTATCTAAATATTTAACTTTTAGTAGAATTTAGAAAGTTGACCATCAAACTTTTGATTAGCAGAAGAATAAGAAAAAAAATAGGACTGATGTAGTGCAAACATGTTCAAATAAATTTTGTCATCATCTTTGTTTCTATTGTAAGTTGTAGAGTTGTACCAAATCATCCTCTTTAATAGAAATTCTAATAGCAAGCAATGGCTACTGATCACCACCAAATAAAAATCATATGGATTATATTAACTGTTAGAAAATATATATATACAGGCATATCTCGCCTTATGTTGGTAATTGGTTCCAGGAGAGGCAATGTAAGTCGAATTTACTTGTCTCCGAATCCACTTGTCACTAGGCTAAACCATAAATTACCATTCCCAGTTCTGTATTTTATTTATTAATGCATTTTTAATAATATATGATTAATAAGGATCTATTTTAAGCTTACAAACAAACAAATTTTAGTTTTTAATATAGTACAGAAAAAAGTAATCCAAATTTACGAATGCATGTACTGTAAATACAGTACATACTTGTAAATGTATATATTTTAATATGATTTTATGTGCTTTAAACGCTTTTCTAGTGATATTACGACTTCAGTATATGTGGCGGACAGATGTAAAGTCAAATGAAATGACTTAAACTTGATTTTTATTTTTCCATATACTTTTTTGACAAACAACGTATAATCGAGAATGACGTAAGTTGAGGTATACCTGTACATTCCAACAGTTAATACATAGACAATATGTTCATTTCTTCCTTTCCCAAATATTTAGAATTATGAAATTAAACTGCATTTTCCTAGAACTTGAATGATGCCCACAGGAAAAAGTCACATGGGGTTAGGACCTTCAACGAGTGCAATCACATCACTAACTGTCTGTGCAGACACTGGTTTTACCCTCTACCAGGCCGAATGGTAAGGATCAAATTTCTTTATCAAGTCTTTCAATACATTAATTGATAGAGGACCTCTATGCAGGTTGTTACGGGTTCTAAACTCATGAAGAGTGCCCGGTATGCTCGATTGGTTAAGATGATAAAGTTTCACAAGCAACTCATGCTGAGGTAACAAAAGTTGCATGTTGAACTCTGCTGAAGTCTGGAATGTGCTTCAAACTTTTGTCCTTGTCTTTTAAGCTCAAATTAGGTGGCACTGCTGTTGACCACGTCATTGTGAATTTGGATTTTGAGGTGTTACCAGCATGTTATGCAAATTTTTAGTTGTTTCACTACAGCAGTGCCAAATCCATCCATACTGGCGAATTTAGGTACTACTTTTTTTCTTTGTGGAATCTCTTTCCCGTGTTGTCCTTAGTCACTCTCCCAAATTTGGCGACAGTCCGGCTGTTAGACTGCTCTACAGATGTCTCTGAGTACCATCAGTTTAAAAAAAACACCCTGTATATATATTATTTAAAGAATAATATAGTTTTAGTATTATACTCACGCCAAGTAATAGTAGTAATAAAATAAATTTTTATTGTGTACGTACACAGTGAAAATCTATTTTACTATTAAAAGAATAATGTTTAAATTTCACATATTATATGAAAAAAATTTTATAATTTTTTCCAACATTTAATAAAGAGTGAAGTATGTGATTTTATCTTTCTCTGAATTCACTTCCTTTCAAAGGCAATGCATCTTCTGAATGTGTCACCAGGAACCAGAATTCATCTATTGGATATAGACTGTAATATTACCAAGACCTCAAAATAAAAGAAAGGGATTGATGACAACAGACAGTGTGTTCATTGATCATCCCGAATCGGTTGGAGTCAAGGTTCGCTATCTAGTCGGTTATCAGCCTCAACCTTCTCAGTTCTCCTGCCGTTCCACTATTTTGGATATTGGATGATTTAATCTTGAAGACATCCACGTATCTGGAAAGCTATCCCTCGTCCAGGGACATCTTACCAACATTTGTACCTCTACCTAATCTTCGGAACTTCTCCAGCGCCACACATCACCCATCCACAATCACCACCTGTCACACCTCTGGAAGTCCCCAGAAAGGGTTCATCTCTAAAAATTCTAATGTATTTATCAACCCCAATTTCAATTGTAAACTCTCTCTCTCAGTTAGGGATCTGACATGACTTAATAGAGAATGATACAGATGCTATTTGATTTCTCTACTGTTAACTCTAGTATGTACATATGTGTAAATAAGCTTATATAAATAAATGGGTATTTGTCTAGAAATTCTGTCGTTGAGTGCACTTCTTTTGGGTACACCGTCTCAAACTTTTTCCATCCCAAATCCAACCACCTACAAGCATAACCACTTGCACATGATTTTAACAACCATTGATTTCTGTGTCCTTTAATGCACAGTAGTGTGTGTCAGTCCTGATATGGCATTGTGACAACCACATAACATAAGAATTTAAAATGTGATTAATGTTAATAAATTTATGTTGCAATTAAACTAATAAAGCAAAAATTATAAATCAAGAAAAATAACAAAAGGTTTAATGCTTTATTTTTATTTCTATAACAAAAATTTTGCTGCTGCTAAAGAATAATGCACCATAAAAATTAAAAAAATAATTTTTACAGTGCATAGAAAATATAATAAATACAATAATTTATTTTGAAAGTCCTATTAATGTTTATATACTTTTAATTAAACAAGGTATATTAATACCCTATACATTTCAGATGATCTTAGATCAATCATAAAATTATTAAAAATAAGTTTAATTTATTTTAAATGGCATAAATGGCAGTTTTGTTACAATATGGAAGTTTTATTTATACAGCATGATAATTGGCTTCAAATTTGAATCTTATTATACCAGGTACCATAACATTAGCCATTTATTCATATAATTTTCATTTTAAACTTTAAATGTACCATATTATAACATTTCACATTTGACTTTTTTTTTATGATAAAAATAAAAGGGATGACATATTTCTTAATAGTAAAAAAAAAAAAAATAATAATAATATAAGCTGTGGAACTAGAGGAATAGTAGACAACTTCACAAATTATTAGGTAATAAAATGAATTATTATTAAAAATGATCAAAATAATGTAATTTGACAGATCATAAAAAGTGCATAATTATACAAATTATTATTATTCATTCTTTTTATGAAAATTAAATGTCTCTTCATAATGTGTAGATTATAATATAGCAAATAATAGTTTTCAATGATTATTAAAATATTCTTTTGTCGTATTATAATTTGTATAAGAAAAGCTTTTTTTTAATACAAATTTACTTCCATAAATATAAAATTTTACATTATATAGTCATTTTTCTTTACATTTAGAATCAAAATTGCCATGATTGTGATAAAGTAAACTCGATTACAATAAGGCTATTAACATAGTAAACAAATAAATTATCTTCCAACGTTGCATTATTATAAATCTCAATCTATTTTTTATGACTCAGATGTAATACATTACATCTAATATGCCATAAAAACAACACAAGGTATGGATGTACAATATGTTACAAACAATGTGACTCGCGTCAATGTGTGTTTGTAAAAATATATACAATTTTCTAATGGAAAAAAAAAAATCTAAAATCATTTTATTTATTTGAAAATTGATACCAGTGCCAAGCTTCCTTTCAACTTAGTGAACAACATATGGAAATATTGTCTTTCAAAATTATCTCACACAATAAATTCATCTCCTAAAATGTTGTTTCATTAATTTAAGTGTCTTTTGCATTAATGGAGCAACACGGGGTTCTGCAAAAATAAAATAAAATAAATTTATAATTACATAATAAAAATTGTTTGTGCGCATTATAAATATATCAATGTAAGCATATTAAATAACTCAGTATTTTTTTTTAAATAAAAATTTAATTTAGTGAAATTAGACCATAACAGCTTCATAGAACTAAACAATGTACCCTATGAACTGATGACTGATGTGTGACGAAAAAAACAAAAGAGAAAGTTCACCACTAATGTTTTCAAACTCCCAAGTTGTTCTTCAGGTGTTAAAAGGAATTCTGATGGAACATAAAACATTTGGAATATGAATACAGTATTCGATGAATCATTCAAATCTGGTGCTTGAGAAATATTTCCCATGTCACACGTGCACATTCACATGGATAGCAGATCTTGACATTTAAACATGTGTCCATCAGTACCTGCCAGGCTACCAATAAAACCAACTCCTCTTTATAATTGATGCATGTGGCTGTAAGGATAGATTTATATATGTGAATGGCCTCCAACCATCTTAGGTGTTCCGTGCGGGTTGAAATGAGGATGAACTTCGTCTGGTTAAAGACCACCACGATGGTCTTTAACCAGACTTGTCACATACGCCATGGATCACGATATCTGGATCCATGAGGTATGTGACAAGGGCAGTGGTATTTCTTGCATGTTGTATGTCCACAAGGTGATCCTGTAATCTGACCCCCAAGGAGCGTTTAGTTGAGCCCCTTTCTCTTTTGTTTTTTCGTCACATACTGGTCATCAGTTCATACAGTACATATTTAATACACCCCAGTGTTGTGTTATTCATAGAACTAATTTCACTAAATTCAATTTATATATATATAAAACACAAAATATGATTTTAATTATAACATTACAATTAAAGGAAATTTAAACAGCTTTAAAATTTAACTACCATTAAAAATAATGAATATTTGTAACAATTTAATATAGTCATGATGCCAAATATAGTATACAGAAGAAAATGTACAGTCTTTTGGTGTTAAATTTATGTTTTGATGAATCAAATGCATGCAAATACTTCTTACATTTCAAAATGTTATCCTGAAGCAAAAAACAAATACAGTAGACCCCCCTATAACGCTTAGATACGTTCCACGCTAATCGAATTTTACGTTGTAGGAACAATTAAATACATGAGCCAATCGCAGCCCAATAGGTGGGAACTTTACGGACTAAGGCTGTTCGAAAGGTTTTCTTCTATAAAATTAACCGATTCTAGACTAATTCGACTCAACATTTCCAAAATACGTATAATTTTTTGGGAATAATCTGTATAAACTATGCTATAAACAAAAAATTATAGGATTACTTACCGAGTGTGTACCGTTCGACTACGCCGTTGCTTAAAGCTGGTTTTCATCGCGGAACAGCACATTAAACGACGGCCGCGATTTCTAATAACGAATTTTTCGCATAAAAATAACTTGACCTTTGGAGACATCATTAATATAAATAATTTTTATGGACGTTGAATAAGAAGTGTTTCTTTCACAAGAAATGTATAAAATTAGTGCTGTATTAGACTTACGGTACCTAATTTACATACTGTACAGACGATAATAAACTCAACTTACTAGCCTAAAATCTCCGTAGCGTGTTGCCAGGCGGCAGAAAGCATATATATAATTATAATAAAGTTACAATAAATTAAGTTAATATATAATTATATATACAGTACCTAATTTATATATAATTAATATATAATTATATGTACAGTACCTAATTTATATATAATTTATATATAATACTAAACAGACGATAGCAAACTCAATTTAGCCGCTCCGTAGCGTGGCGCAGGGTCGGAGGAAAGTAGTTCGGCTGCTCATCCACTATTGGTCCAGACTCTATCAATCTTGTCGCGAAACGACGTTATAGGAGGTACTTTATACGAAAGTTTCTACAATTTTTTCGCTATGTTATAGGAATTATCGTTATAGGAACGTACGTTATAGGGGGGTCGACTGTATACAAGATTCAAATAGTGATTTTTAAAAACTCTTTACAATAAGCTAACTTACTACACATTTAGGTTTAAAAAATGTTCTTAAGTGTCAACTTTCTTGTATATTCTTTCTTTGCTTGAGGATGACATTTTGAAATGTCGAGGGTACTCGTATGTATTTAATTCATCATGTAAAAAAATTTAATGCCAAGAGACAGTACATTTTTTTCTGTATATATTAATAACATCTTTTATTTTTGTTTTTACAAAAAAGCCATTTCAGAAAAATCAGCACTTGAGCTAACTTGTCAATATTGTCATATACAGTGGATGATCAGATAACGAACACTTTCGTGAAAGATTTTTATGATCGGACAATGAACACTTTACTGAACAAACACAAAAAGAAGTGATGGAAAATAACAAATACTGATTGATTTCCTCTTGTCTTCAGGTAACAATTCGAAACCTTTCAGAGTGCGGGAGACGTCAACATCGACGCTCAACCCGATACCAATCAGATAGTATAATATTCCTCCAAATTTTGAAACTCTCCCTTGTAATTCCAGCTTTTTGTTTACCTTTCTGACAAATAATTTTTTATAGTCTTTGCAAGACTGTCAGACAGGCACTTGTTAAGTTTTGCATTGGGGTTTATTTACAAAAGGTGAAAGTTTAACTATCCCATCGGATATTCGTTAACATTTTAATACCAAATTTTGAATTTCATCCAGGCCTTGAAATTAAATAACTTTTTGTGGGCGAGTCGATTTCTGTTCTCTGAATTTTTTTGTAAGTGTTTTTCTGAACTTTTTATTTAAAAAAGAAACTGATAATATTATGGAGCCTAAAAAGAGGAGTGTCAAGAACTGTGCTCATCAAAGAAGCCAAGTAAAAGATAATAGCTAAGGTAGAAAGTGGGCACAAGATGTCTGATGTTGCTAGGCAGTATGGCTTGAACAGGTCTACAGTAGGCACAATACAGTAGGCACAGGTCTACAGTCTCAAGCTGCTAATGGAGTAATGAAAATCACATCTGAGAAATAAAGAGCATTAGAGCTCATAATGGAACCTGAAACTGATCTGACGACAGAAGAACTCCAAGAACTCTCAAATGAACAACACCAAGAAACTCAGCGAGATGTGTTTTCTTTTGAAAATGAGGAAGACGAAAGAGGACCAATGTCAACATCTGCTACTAAAGATCTCTTGAAGAAGTGGGAGGATGTCAGAACAACGATCATCCAAGTGGCATCCAAACCAGAATAAGTTTAATGGGGTTGGGGATCTCTACAATTACAATACTATTAATTACTTCCGAAAAATCCTGAAGAAATGAGAAAAGCAACCGACATTGGACAGATTCTTTAACCCCCAAAAACAGAAAAAACATGACTAATAAAAACGCAAGACTACATACAGTAAAACCTGTCTATGGCAACCACCCACAGTTCCTTCAAAAAGTGGTCTTTTAGACAGGTGGTCGTCCAATACAGGTGGTGCTGTAATAACGTATTTCCGTACGTATTTTGTGCACTTTTTAGCCATTTCTACTAAGCAAAACACGAGGTGAGCAAAAATAAGCGAATTTTTTCAACGGTATGGCTATATTGGTATTGTATTTTATTCTTATCGGATAACCCGATTTACAGGAGTCGTCATGATATTATAAGACAGATTTAACACCAATAAAGATTAATACAATACTCGCATTTTCTCGATTATAATGCACATTTTCTTTTTTCCGACTTAATTAATTCGACTCGGTTCTTTTCGTTCGCTCCTCAGTTACGTGTATTACGTCATCAATATACAAGCGCGTCCTATCTCTCCATCACTTTGCTTTTGGTTTTCGTTAGTTTAATCTTATTTTAACTTTAAAAATACTGTATTTTTTAATATTTAATATTTTCTTAATTAATTAAGTACAATAAGAAAAATTATTAATTAATAATAAAACGATTTTATTATTTTTTCTCATTATACGATTTCATTACAATCGCGGAATCGAAAAAGGAAGTAAAACTGATTTTTGCATTAATGCGTTTATTGTTTTTTGAATATTTTGCCTGCGAAAATTACTTGGATATTATTTTTCTAAAAATATCGTGGAAATAAGGTAGGTTGATACAGAAACTATTTATCGCACGTGTACTGTATATGAGCTTCAAAATAAATAAATAAAAATAGATTTTATCAAACGATGAGATCAGCCGATTAATTGTATCATGTACAATATTTTACATCCCCAAGGAAAATACTGTAGGTCTAGGGTAAAATAAATTTTGTTTTCCCACAGTTAAACTTCGCCGCTAATCACTGTTGTGATAACTTTAATTCGATCTTGTAACGACAGCACTTTGCATTTCGGACATTTTCCTACAAACTGAAATGAATTTCTTTTGTTGCTACACTAATTTATTAACATCTGCACCTAATTTCAAGGGTGGGAGAAGTGCTCGGGATGGGTTCGAACGAGAGTTTAGACTAATTCATTATATTAGGAACTGGAAACGTTGTTGAGATGGGTTCTTACACTAGTTTAGACCAAATACATTCGCGAAAGTGGTCGCTTATTACAGGTGTTGTATGTTGTTTCGGACCAAAAATCGATGCCCGAGGTCGCGTTACACAGGTGGTCGTTTAATACAGGTAACTTATACGAAGACTCTATGGATGGGGTGTCCAACCCGCGGCCCGCGGCCCGCATGCGGCCCAATAAACGTGTAAACAAAACCGACAGATTTTTTATTTTATTTTATTTTATTTATTTATTTGAACGGCACAAATTCAAAAAAGACGTTTCACAAAGCAGTAAACCTTTATACATATTTTAATTTTGAGTGGAAAGGAAACATTTTCAAATACTGTACTTGAAAATGTGTGAATGAGGAAGGTATATTAAATAAAACTGAAGTTGTGACTCAAAGGAGTATAGACTCAAATTCGGGAAAAGGAGAGAAAGGACAAAAGATAAAATGATAATGAGAAGGTTTAAATATAGGAATAAAGCTNATTAAATATACAAGTATATACAAGTATACAAGTATATAATCCTAAATATACAAGTATATTTAAGGATTGGGCCAAAATATACTTGGGCCACAAGTATATAGGCTATATTATACTTATGGCCCAAAACTCCATGACTTCTTCCAATGTGGCCCAAAGAAACAAAAAGGTTGGACACCCCTGCTCTATGGATAAACTATTCCGTGCCAGAAATTTTTGCCCGTTTTCACAGGTGCCCGTCGAATGCAGGTGGTCGCCTAAGCAGTTTTCACTGTATATACGTATTTTTACTATTACATATAAATGTAGTAAAAAAGTATAATTTTTTATTTTTTGGAGTCTCTGGAACAAATTAATCAAATTCCCATAAAAACCTATGGTAAACTGATAATCGGTTAGCAAATAATTCGGATAATGAACAAAGTTTAAGAACGGATTATGTTCGTTAACAGGTCACCCACTGTACTACAAAAAGAACAAAAATGGTTTCAAGAATTAATATTCACAAATTAAAAGATGAATTAATTTAAAATAACAGACAAATTAATCATTCTGTGTATTTTATTACAAAATCATATAATGTAGTTTTAAAAATTATTTTTCTCATAATACATTCTAATTCCAATAAAAAATGTTATATGACAATTTTATATGGAACACATCTCACACACACATATATATGTTACTGTGAAAGACCAAAATTAGAGAATATCAACACATACAAAATATGTCGGTGAAAGACTAAATATTTGGTTATATTATTATACATTCAAACAATTGCCGGCATATGTCGACAAGCACAGATAAGCTTTGGTGGATGTCGAAACAACACCCAAGATGATGATGTCAACATAGAGGTGACAGTCTGTTGTCAAATTCTTCACCGTTTCCTTCTGCTCAAATTGGTGATACCATATGAATACAAGTCCCTGATGTCAACCGTGGCCATACAGATGCCCGAAATGTGTTGGTGGTTGTTGTTGGAATAGAAGACTCTGACTTTTATAAATTAGCAAACAAAAATGGTACCTCAAGCAGCTTTATACCTGTAATCAGTTTGTAATTTGTAAAGAAAAGTTACTTTCCATATTCAGCAATATTTCTTGAGATTCCTTCTCAAGAAATATCACTGAGAGAAGCAGCTGCAGCTAATTCAAAAAGTGGAGGGCAAGACTAAAGACGTTGTCATTGCAAAAAGAAGTGTTCCATGAATAAATGCTGTTGTAAAAGCAAGGGACTCTTGTGCAATTCAAAGTGTCATAACAGTTTAAGTTGTTGCAATAAATAAGATTGTATAACATTAATTAATCACATAATTTATATGTAAGTTTCTTATTTTAATTATTTTCTTTAATGATTTAGAATGTACTGTTCATTATAGGTTCAACAGTTTATTTACATGTTCTGTTACTTATGTGAGCCTGCGGATTTTTATGGGCCCCTTAAAAAAATCTAAATTTTCTATTAATTGTAAATATCCTCGGAAAAAACCCAAAGAATTTGAACTAGATCGGATTTCACCAATTGTATAACAATTTGACGGGAAAGTTTACACCTAGGTGTGAAGAATGCACTGTCATCAACAAAAGTCAATCACATGTCAGTTTTCCCACGCGAATGATATAAAAGCTCAAATCCCCGGAAGCTCAGGGCGATCTCTCGGAAGTATACTTGTAACTGTGCATTTTGTCTCCATACGCCAGTTTGACAGGACATACAATGGAACTTCCATCGCCAGGACATATGACAGAACTTCCCATTAAGGAACATATTCATCAAACATGTGAGGTATTTACATTGTTTTAGCACTTGAGAACTCTCTTTCTCAGACTAGCTGTTAAAGCTATTAGTGCATCCCTCTTGGGTATAGTAAACTTATGTTAGCTGCATTACTCTTAGTTGTATTTAACTGCATTTAACCTATATCTTGTTATCGCCTTGTGTATTTACTATATAGTTATATAATAAATGTTTTGTTATATCGTTAAACCTGTCTCCTGTCTATCCGAGGAAACCTGTCGACTTACCAACGCACTCCCCACTCAATTTGCCCTCCTAGCCATCCAACAACCTCAAGATCGGGTTTTACCAACCTGTGCAGATTAAGTGGTCATTTGGGGATTAACCAGTGACCCACTGCTAATTCTCACACGTAAGCTTTCTTCTATTTTGACATATTAAAAAGTTGCATTTTTGTCTTCATGTAATAAAAATATTTTTATTCTACATTCACCATCAGTGCATGCTGAATGTCGACATTTGCCAGTGTAAGTGAGAAATAATGATATTTAGCAAATATTTCTTACATACACGAAATGACTGTGTGAATGCTGATATTCACTGGAGAATGTTGACATTTGCCAGATATCGGTCATTCACAGTAATATATATATAATATAATTTTAATGAAATTAGTCTGTTCTCATATTTTAGCTTTAATTATTATTGTTTTTGTTTTTCTGTGGATTTTAATTTTTGGTTATAAATAAGCTAGACAATAATTGATAAAAAGAAAATAATTTGGTCTAAAGATAATACAAGATGCCTGTCTTACTGCCTAAATTATATAATTTAGAATATTCTGGAAGAAATTGTTATATGTATGTATGTATCAACTAATATTAACTTTCACATTATAAGTAAAACAATACAGAAGGACACCAAAAAGAAAAATTTTTAAATGATATATAAAAATTAAAAAAAATTTTATCATCTAACATCTTACTTCTTGGTTGTACAGATGATGATGATGATAGTGATGATGATGATGGTGCTGCCAATGATGATGATGAATTAACTACTGAAATTTTACTAGAATGTGATGTTATTTTATGTTGACCAGGTTTTACTGGTGTGATTATGGATAATCCTGTGCCGTGTTTAGCTTGTCTTCTTGCAACATCTCTCGGTGGTTTGGCAACACTATCCACATAGGCTAGTTTAGTTTGCCTAACTGTTAAAATGATAAGGAAAAAAATGATATTCAGAAACAATAATATATTTTAATCAATCTATATATCATATAAATTAAATCATTCAAACTTTATAAAATTATTTATTTAATAATAATTATCATCTGCACATCGGATTTAACTAAATAACACATACCTCAGAAAAACCTTTAACCGATGCGAAATAATATTTAACAGTACAAACGTTTTCAGACCCCTCCTGGGTCCTTCTTCAGGTAAAAATCGTTTGAAAATTTACTAAATACGAAAAATATTCGTTTGGAACGATTTTTTAAAAATCGAGAAGATAGAATGGAATCACGTAACCTATAGCTCTGAACATCAAAGTTTCTACATCATATCGACAGTTATTTAAATATTTTCCATCTTTTTCAAAGATTTTATGAATAACTTTGTTGTTAAGCCTAAAAAAACATATCACACAACCCATTTACTTCCTTTCTTTTAGGTTTACGATTCACTTAATCCTCCTGTTGTATTAGGGCCTGCCATGCCAAAGAAAGAGAGATCTCATCTCTGGAATTAATAGGTGATGTAGTGTTGTATGTCCTGTATATTTCTATTTGCTCCAACCATTTCAGATGGTCTAAATATGAGGAGGTGGTAATTAATTTAGCATTTGCAAAGTCAGCAGTTATCTCTGGATCAGATGCGTAAGTTGATAAGGAAGTGGTACATTTATTTTGTTGAATATCACGCATGTGTTCTTTCAATCTGATCCCAACAGCTCATTTTGTTGAGCCTATGTAAATTAAGTCCTTGCCAAAACGATGGTCCCTAAGTGGCACTCTATATACCCCCGGCATTCTTTCTTCCTTAGATTTGTCTTTTCCATTACGTAGAATATCATATATAGATGGGCATCTTCTGAAGGCTAGGGAGATACCCCTCTGCCGTACGATTCTACTATGTATTGATTTCAATAGCGAGTTGTAGGTAATCGACACCCTCTGCTTATCCTCCTTCTGGTTGGCATTTATTGAATTAGCTCTTTTAGAAGGAGACATCATTTCTCCGAACTGTTTCAACATTTTTTGTATGATGTTATGGTATCCATGTTGTTTTGGCCACTTCGCATAGTTATCATAGTTCTTGTTCTAAAGCCCCTTGAGTAGAAGAGTGTGTGTGAGCCCTTTTAACTAGAGTCCTGAACGCCGCCATCTTGTATTGGACAGGGTCACAAGAGTCTGCCGGGATATAAGTTGGATTGTCTGATGGTTTGCGGTACACGGAGGTGTGTATGATCGGTCCTCCAAAGTCAATATTCAAATCCAGAAAATGCACTGATGAGTGGCTGTGCTGCTCGACCTCAAGAGTAAGACTGTATGGATTGTTGTTCATTTGATCCAAGAATTGGGTGATGTTTGGAGAGTTTCTCCAGAGAATAATGATGTCGTCAACGTATCGTTTGTAAATTATGATGTTTTGGAGGAAATTCGGCAGTATTTTGTTCTCCAATTGTCTGATTACTAACTCACACAGATCCCCAGAGACAGCACTGCCCGTGGGGTCCCCATTTACCCTGCGTGTACATAAGTCTGCCGAATTGAAAAATCGAGCTGTAACAAATCAAGTGGGACAACTCTAAAACTTGTTGATGGAACTCTTCATTGCGTAAGATTGTAAACAGTAAGTCCCTGATGTTGCAAAAACAAGGAGGAATCTCGATCGAAGGGTACAGTGATCGGAAATCCAGGACCGTGATAAAGCTGGGATGTTCAGTGTGCTTGAGGAGCTCTGCTAATTCCACCGGGTTAGAGATCGTGTATCTGTATCCTTCTAAATGTGGCATGATCATTTTGTGCATAGAGACTTCTAACATGCAGGTAGGGGCCTTGGCTTTATCCACAACCGGTCTCAAATTTGTGGTTTTGTTTGTGAATTTTTGCAAATGCAAATAACTTGGGGTGTCCGGTGCATCCATGACGATATTCCGCATACCGCATGCACATGAATAACTCAAAAAATATATAAAAATATATAGTAGACTATAATTACTATGATCTACTGACAAACTTATTTTTTACAATGTATCTCCATTCTGTTGGTAAATTATCTGCATCTCTAATGTATGCACATAATTTGGAAGAATAACAAAGGCATCACTGAATTTATTGATAAGGTTAACAGAAACAAAGATGGGCTGAAGTTGAAAATAGAACAAAAAACTTACTACAACTGCATTTTTTGGATATAAACATATATACAAAAGCAGGTTGAAAGATAAGTGCATTAATGCAAGAGATGAGGACAGTTTCCCAATGGCAAGGAGATACATTGTAAAAAATGAGTTTGTCAGAAGATCGTAATTACCTCATTTTTGCTATATATTTTTGTATATTTTTGTTAGTTACTTATTTTACATTTTACTATTATTAATTATTTATATTAATTTTTAGTTATTTTTGCTTTATATTCAAATATTTAAAAAATTATTATTCTTTTATTGTATTCCATTTTGAAACAATATTTAATGGTTATGATATTCCAAGAAAAATTGCAGCCTGAGGATGGCCTATTAGACTAGATTGAAAATGTTTGTTAAATAAAAGCGAATCCCAGCAGCCAAAAAAGTGTCTATAGAATGATTTTGAATTATTCTGCTGAGGTTGATTTATTTATTTACAATTATTCAAAAAAATCTAGCATGGACAAAATGCAGATATAATGTAGTAATAAATATAGATATGATACAAATACACATCACTTCAACTGAAAGAAATATTAAATTCCAAAATACGAAATAAAAAATTTTTTCACAATTTTCCATGTTTTCCACTAAAAGTTTTAATTTAAATAACATTGGAGATTTAGAAAAGAAAAGTAAAATTTTGTGTTTGAAAAATTCAAAACTGTTTAAAGAATTTTTTCATAACTAACTATTTGTTCAGTTAAATTAAATGGTAACTTACATATAATATTATAAGTTACCATTTGTGGGTAAGATGTGGAATAATCAACCATATACTTATACCATATACATTACCATACCATATATTACCTATATTTAACCATTTAAGAAATTAGCAAATATGATAATCTCATTTCTTGTCATTTCTAACAGATATTTAAAACTGTTTTTAAAATTTTTAAAATTATTCTTTGAAGTTATGCATATGTAATTCTAATTTACCAACTGTACTTGAAATTTCCAAATTTAAAAAGTATAAAATTTTAATATATTTCATTATTTATTCTGCATATAGAAAAATTTTCATATGAAATATGCATATTTAATAATTAAAACATTACCTTGAGTAGCTTTGGCCATTGAAGCAGATATATTGGCTGTAACACTTTTGAGTTTTGATTCTCTTTCATCATATTTACGCTAATAAAATAAAGAAGATTTTCAGTGTCTTCATTTTATAATAAAATTTAATCCACATCATACATTATTTTTATAACAATAATAATAATAATAATAATAATAAATAATTAAAAATAATAATTATCATCATTTGACTCTTCTGATGCATAAAAATAATGATTTTTTTATTAAGTTTTTTAATTTTTAAAATCTCTTAACAGAAATCTATTTAATTTGTACTTGAATTTGTCAAAACATACAGATCATTCTTAATGCACAAAACTAAAATAAGGTGCACGAAAAAAAAAGACAATTTTTTTCAGTCCTACAAAATTTTTAATTTTTATATTCTTAAAAGTATTGTAAAACTTTTAAGAATATAAAATCAAAACTAGTTCCTCATTAATGCTGTAGTAATAGGTCTGGATAGTCCAGCCAGTCTGGCCACCTTTTCTCCTTTTTATGATCCTGTTCATGCTTCATGTTGTAGAAATAAACATATAGAACATTATTTTTATAATTTACGATGAAGAACACAATTCATTTTCTTTAATTTATATTAAAATTTTAATATAAAAAATGAAAAAGTAAGAAAATAAAAATATTTTAAAATTAATGAGTCAAAATAAATATTTTTATTAGTATAATCACAATCATCATCATCCTGTTTACCAACCCCTATTTTAGACAAAAATTTTTTTATTAAATTCTCAGATATATCAATAGAATACTAATCTAGTAAACATTAAGCTAATGTCAGACAAACATCAAAATAGATGGATACTGTTTTTTTAATTCATGGACATGACAACTCATGATTTCACATGAAGTTGGTTGTCAGATGAGCACTATATTATATGGTGTGCATTATTTATCAGTTTTATTTCAGACGTACATATGTCAACATAAATCTAATAGATTGTGATGTTCTGTTTTTAATTTCCTGGCTGTTATAGCAAAGGGAAAGTATGGCAATCAGTCAAAAAATGACCCCACCAAAGATTTTTACATTTTTGTACTCAGGGTACCTTGAAACATCGAGAAATGCAAAAACAATCGGGTTTTTTCTGTATGTACGGATATTAATGTGGAGGGGCACAATTTGTTTACCCTCTTTGAAGCTTAATAACTCCTGTGCTTTTTGTCAAAAATTTCTGAACTTTTTGTAGGGAGGTTTGTTTATTAGAGGGATTTATGCTATTGAATTTTAGTGGTTAAAGGCTGAGGAGGTGGGGAGATAATGGGGACTGTGTTTATCTCCAGTAGGGTTGGACTTAATGGCAATTTTATTCATTATCAGCATTTACAGTTTCTTATAAAACTCATCCCTGCCCTCAAAATTAATCTTTTTGCCATTTTATAATAGTTAGAAATATAAAAAGTTATTTTAATAAAATTTGATAACAGAAGAGTGTCACCAAAATTTTAAATGTTGCTGTGAAAGTTGAGCAACTCATTACTGGTTTATTTTTATTACATACAGAAATATTAAAAAAAAAAAAAAAGATGTAAGCAGTATTGGGTACATCCTTTGATTGTAATCAGCCTTCCGTTTTCTTATTTCTGTCTTTATAAAGTTCAGATAAAGTGTCTCACAATTCTGGCTGCTTACTAACTTGTATGTTAATTTTACTCATATTGATATCCATTTTTAAAATGCACTGGTACAGTACAACATTCGGCAGGAACAACAACAATTTGGTACTCCTTCAAAACAATATTATGACATCCATCATTTTTTGCACTCATCTGACGACTGTAAACAGAATGTATATCCCAACACACACCAGGAACACACTGTCATTAAAGTATCACAGATGATCCAGCTGGCCATCTGTGCAGCACTAGTGTCATTTTTTGCATCCATGTATGACTGCTCCCATACATTTTTACATTCCTGTGATGTATGTTAAAAATGACAGATGTGAAATCATACTTGTCTGACATCAGCCTTAAACATTGCTATGCACAAATACCTATCATAAATCAAAAATATTAAAAACAATGGTTATTAAAACCATTGTTTTAAATATTTATATTTATTTAAAATATATAAACATATAAATGAAAACAGCAAATTTTTAAATGATACAATCATAATGTATAAAAACATATAAATTTTTTTATTACTTTACATAAATTAAATTTTATTCTAAGCAATAACATTATAGCAATATCAATCAATAAATATTAAAATTATTTATAATGTATAATTAATTTATATTTATTAAGTAATATATTTAATAATTTATTAATTAAATAATATTTTAATTCATTACCAAGTATAATTCACGCCATGTTTCATCTTCATCTGGTTCAGTATTTCTGAATTCTCTTTTACAGTGTATTTCCCATAATTCATCTGTATCTTCTAAAAGATCCTAATAATAAAATATTTCTATATAAGAATCAACTTTTTTTTTTAATTAAAATATAATAAAAAGTTTAAAAAATACTCTAGTAAAATTCATTTTTAAATTAATTGTTTTGACTAAATGGAATGCTCTAAATTATGGAAAACATTTCTAAATTAGTAAAGCATTAAATTTTAAAAAAGTTTGACAAATTATATATTCTGTCTAAACAAAAATTCTATTTACTAATGATTCTATCAAACTGATAACTATTTGTAAAGACCAATTATAGAAATAGCCTTAACATTTGCATTAATTCATAATTAAGAAGCTTTTAAAAGAATCAAAATATCTATAATGTCATCTATCTATCTATCAGAATCAAAATATCTATAATATTAGTTTAAAAAATAATATACTAAATGTAAAGAAATTAGTAGAAAAAAGAATCAACATACAAAGTTATACTTGCAGGCTTTTTTGAAAACTTCTTCAAAGAATTTATAATAATATTATAATATATGCTATATGTTTATTTATATTAATAAATTTAGAAAATTAGCAAATTATTACAAACTTACTATCTACTTATAAATCTAATGAATACAGCATAGATTATTTTTATCTACAAACTTAACAATAAAATTAAGAACTGATGCTTAATTGAAATAATATTAAAAATTTATTGAATTCTGTTAATTATATTCAATTTATTTTTCAAAATATGGCTTTGGAAATGTGTAAAATGTCAATCTTAAATAATTTTTTGAAATTTATTTCATAAAATTTAACTATTCAAATAAAATCTAAAAGTACTGACTATAGTGTTGATAATTTGTGTTAAAAATAGACAGTAGTAGTGACATCATCTTGTGTAATAATATTTTTTCATTTATTCATTTTTTTCATTCAAAAAATTCATTATGAAATCATACAACTTCATCAATAAAATCAATAATGTTTATAAGATATATTAAATATTGAAGAAATAATTTTATCTTTTGTTAAACAATATTTTAAAATTAAAAAAACATCTGAACATAAAATTGAGTATTATTAGCCATACAAATGTGTCATAATTTTACATTAAAATATTAAAAACAATAAAAATTTTGTATAAATACTTAAAAATTAACAGTGTATTTTAAAAAGAAGTTATTTTTATAAAATAGATTTTATTCATATTTCTAAATAATTGAACTAACGATTTGCGGATTACCAGTTTTCTTCATACCGAAAAGATAATGGACAATGATACAGCAGAATCTGCTTATGGTAATCACTATAGAACTTGCCTATAGTGATAACAATAACTGAGTAACAACAATAAATGGGGTAAATAAATATGGCTAGATTAGTGAAAACTCTGATTTTATTTACTAACATTAAAAGGTTATGTTAAACTATTAAAAATTATATTACACAAAAATTTATCTATTCTAATTATTATTATTATGTAATTCATTTAATATTGTTTGGCTGCTACCATCTTTAATACTCTAGCATTTAAGTAAAGAAAAAAATTCCAGCAATTTAAGCTACTTTTTTTATGATGAAATAATGATTAATGTTTAAAGCACTAGTTAAGATTGATAAGAATAACTGATAAAAACTGCATATTAATCTACATACTGTAAGGTCTCGTTTTATGCAGTGGATACATTCTACAGAAAAGCGCATATAAAAAATTCGCATAAAAAAAGACTTTACTTGCCTTGAAAAAATAGGGATACGTTCCGTAATTTTCTAAAATCGTATAAAACCAAAACAACGAGTTAAAATTAACTTAAAACTGCATAAAAAAGTTTGCAGAAATTAAAAGAAATAGGCTGCTTAATAAATTACTTCGAATGTCTGAAAGAAATTCATATAAAAGCTTAAAATAAACTTGTATTCAAACTTAATTCAGTTTATTTTATTGAAAAGTAATATAGTTTTACATTTTTTAATCATTATCGCTATCTGATAATGGTTTGCACCGTTTGCAAAGTGGTTCCAAATCACCTTCATCATCAGAAGAGACTGTCTCTGCAATAGATATTTGCGGTAAAGGCGATGGATTTTCACAAACTTCATTCTCGTTCTGTGTAGCTCTTTCTTTTCTGACAATGTAATTAGTAATTAAACTTTGCGATGATGATTCTACTAATTTTTTATGTAGCTCACAATATCCAGACATGCAGTTCTGCAGCTCACGTTATAATTTAAAGGCTCTTCAGAATTGGGTCATTAATAAGAAAATGATTTTCTAATTTACTGCAAAGTTGAAGACCTTCTCGAATTAATTTTGCAGTGAGGGGGGTTGGTTTTTCTTCCTCATCATTATCACCTTCTAGACCTATGACGACATCTAAAGTTAGATCAATAATATCATTGTCACTTAAGGCATCATCCACAAACAATTCATCTATATCATCATGGCTGAAGGTATTAAAACCATCTTTGCCAATTTCATATGCCAAATTATTTCATCTGATAGTGTCAATGTTTGAATGGTTGTATTGCTTGTTACACATGCTGGCCAAACCTTTTTCCAACAGGCATTTAAAGTTGTTGGTCTTATTTCAGCGGAAGCAGATGCAACATGAATCAAATAATCAAAAATAGAAAATTGCTTCCACACGTCTTTTACTGTTAAGGACTCATTTTCTAGTTTACTCAAGATGAATTGGTAAGTTCACTTAATGTAATATTTTTTAAAAGTTGCAATTATGCCTTGATCTAATGGCTGAATAAGGCTTGTTGTATTGGGCGGAAGAAATACTACTTGAACATTTGGATGTTCTAACTGTGGATGACCTGGTGCATTGTCAATAATTAATAAAACTTTAAAATCGAGAGATTTTTCCTTCATATAGGCTTCCACTTCTGGTACAAAGCAATTATTGAACCATTCTGTAAAAATAGCTGTTGTCGCCCAGGCTATCAGGTTAGCCATCCAATAAACTGGCAGTTGTTTTAAATCTTTGCCTTTTAGAGCACGTGGTCTAAGATATCGATTTATTATGAGTAGTTTCAACATCTGATCTCCTGATGCATTGCTACAAAGTAATAATGTTACTCAATCTTTACTTGCTTTATGTCCATTTGCAGTTTTTTCATCCTTTACGATGTAAGTATGATTAGGCATTTTTTTCCAATACAGTCCTGCCTCGCCTCATCAGCGTTAAATACTTGATCGGCACAATAGGCCCCATCTTCAATAATTTTTGCTAGCTCCTGTGGAAATTTTTTTGCTGCTCCTTCATCTGCTGACACAGCCTCCTCTGTAATCTTGATATTATGAAGTGCATTTCTTTTTAAAAACCCGGTTAGCCATCCTTTGCTAGCTGAAAATTCTTTACCAGCCTGGGAAGTGGAAGTTGATGGCTCTGACTGTTTCATTGACTCATAAAACAGAAGAGCTTTTTCCTGGATTAAATAACCACTTACAGGAATTCTTCTTTGAATTAGTTCCTCAATCCAAATTGCGAGGGCTCTTTCTGTTCTTTCTAATAATACATCCCTTGAGTAAGATGATAATTTGGCGCTTAATTTTGTACCAGAAATGACAGATTTTCTTATTGCGACTTCATTCTTCTTAATTACTCTTACAGTAGATTCGCCTAAATTAAAATGTTTTCCAATCGCCGTAGATCCTTCTCCTTTTGCCAAGCGATCTAAAATTGCAATTTTCATTTCCAACAAAATTAATTGTCTTTGATGTTTTTTTTTTCTCCATTGGGCCAAGTAAAATCTTAGAAAAGAAATTAGAAAAATTTAGACTTACGATATTGAGAAGGCAAAAACCTCTTCTAATGAAAAATAAAACTTTACGACACTCACTTTATACGTTTCAATCCAGAAATCAAAATGTGCTGCTTATTACTGCAACTTGAAATCAGCAAAATTTAAACTCGCTACTTATTATAAAAATGAACAAAACACCGCTAAAATAAAATTTAATTTCAAAACAATTACAGTTTATACCTTTCAATGCGAAACTCAGAATGATGTAATAGCGACTTGTCGATGGTAAGTATCATGTACAAGGGGAATCCCCGAATTGCAAAAGCTCACTCTAAAAACAAATCACTGACATATGGATGTGAAGAGTTAATTAAAACCCCTTTAGTTCCTCGCCCAAGTTAACTCAGGCAGGTTACATAGCATTACATAAAACACGGTCCTTAAGGCCATTTTTAAATTTTTTTTTTAAATTTTTGGAATGTTTTTTAAGTCTCCAAAATTTTAAAAAATATTTAAAAATATACAGCCAGCTAGTGTTCACCCTACTTTAAACCCTTGTCCTCCCACAACATCTATGAGAATGCCCCGGAAAATCCAACTCCAGCTGTGTTCAAGGTCATCCAGATGTGAAAACAATGACTCATAGGTGTTAAAGGCGAGACAAAGGAAGTTAAACTTTGAAGCTTTTTCTTCAAAATTAACACATTTCTTTCGTTTTTTTTTCAGTTTTAAGTATTTTTTATGTTTAATCACATTTATATCAAAAATTGCTAGGAACTAAAGCGATTAAGATAGATCTAGCTGTCCTTTACATCCATAAACGTTATATGTCAGTGGAATAAATGGAGTGAGCTTTGAGCGTTCCATGATTTTTGGAGACTGTCTATACGCGGGCTTCCTAAACAAGCCTATATGTATGTTTGTCCAAGAAATTTTTGAATGAAATACAAACCGCACAACTTCAAAATTGCATAAAAATAATCTGCATAAAAAGAGACCTTACAGTATTTAAGTTGATAAAGATAACTTAAAAATGTATATGTATCTGAAGATGATGATAACTATAACCAAAACTCTGATTACAAGAAGCAAAGTTTATAAATTTGTTTTAACTAAAATATTTTGAGACATGACAGTTCTGATAATATTAAATGATTGATGATAACATCTGTGATTCAGTAAGCAAATATGGCATATATGATATTTAATAAAAATGTATTTAACATTGAAATTTCATATTAATAGATATGATATACTTTAATGATAATATAATCTTACTGGATTATAATCTTCTAAAGAATATAGCTGTATTGGATTACACCTCTGTAATACGGGCTTTAAAAGAAAATAAGGAACGCCTCCAGTATATGCAAGTGCTATATTAAAAAAAAATTAAATCATGAAATCAAATATTCATTCAGAATATAGATTGATATACATACACACATATATATCATTATAAAAATCTGATTAAAAAAACTATAATAAAAGATAAATATACCATCTATATTCTCAATAAGAACACGAACACAAGCTTCATATAAGGTTGGTACACCTGAAAATTTAAAAAATAAAATTTTTTTTAATAATTTATTTTTCAGAATAATACTAATAAGAATTTATTTAAAATAGCAAGTATATTTTTCAGCTATACAATATATTCATAAATTTTTCTATTATTTTATTATTTAACATTTCATATTCTATTACGAATTCCTAACATAATTATATTAATAAATTATTTAAAAAGCTTGTTTTATTTCACTATAAATTTTTATACAAGTTCTAAATTTATTAACTGCTATTGTAAGGAAAACCATCCTTATCCATATTTATTTTTGATTTTAAGATAAAAATTGTAAAAAGAAAAGTTTTGCCAAAAGGGACAACACAGTTGTTTAGATTTCAAACTATAATCTGATTAGAGAAGTTATGGTTACTAACTAATTTGTTATAAAATATCAGTTCTTTTTAGTTTTCAGTGTGATGTTGTAAGCTTTAAAATTGTTTTTTAAAAGCAATTTGTTCCTGTTGACTCTCTTGTGAGTTTCTTTTGCAACAATATTTAAACATGTTGAGATTATAGTTTAATATCTATTAAACTAATGTTTAAATATTTAGATAAAATAGTATTTGTAAATATTCTTAGGTTTCTACTTTGTTTTAACAATATAAAATGTGGGGGGAGTGTCTTGACCACTGAGGCTGCTGGTGACTTTTCCTTCGTACTTCAATAACACACAGGAAACTCATGAATTAGTAATCCTTAATTAATTTAAATTGTTAAAAAGTAATTAGAATTAAATATAATTTAATATCCTTTGAAAGAAAACTAAATATTGACCAAAATGCAATGTTCACGGTAAAGCGTGGAAGGCCACAATTAAACTGTACCAAACTGGAAAGCAGAAAAGATTGATCAATAACTCCAAACTCATAACAGACTTCAATTTGCATGTAGATAAAGACTCACAGGAATCATCCTCAGCTGTTATTGATCCTCATATCAACATAATATCACAGAGTCCACAGAAATCCCCAGGTGAGTCAAACGTATTTTGTCCTGCCTCATTAACTAATCCAGGCAACTCACTAGACATTTCAATGACAGTTTTATGGAACAGAATCTCAAATTTAATAAATACAGTGGAACCCTGGTTAATGACCAAATTGGTTAACAAACTTTTATTTTGCAAAAATTTTGTCTCGGATAACAGATGAAATTCAGATAACGAACTTAACAGTTTTTTGTGTCAAATTTGTAAGCTTGCCAACTTTTAGGGTGGATCAACTGATCCACTTAAGTCGGCAAGCTTATAAATCATTCCTCGGTGATGGTCTACAGTCCATTCGTACATTGATGGTGGTGGAGGAGACAAAGATGACAAGTATTTTACAGTGAAAATTGTTTATTAGAACGGGAAGATGCTTACATATTTGAAGTAGTTGGAAATGGTTTATCTACAGTATTTTTCCCGGCACTGAGGAGCAGCATATCACTGGTCCTATGATAATGCAAGCTGATCAGTCATAGCCCAGGAGTGGACAAGATGGGTTTGCTCAGTCACAGAAGCAATGGTAAATGATGGGACTGCAGCGACTGGAGTGGTCTGCGAAACACAACACAAATTTTAGCGAGCACAACTTCAGGTTTAATCCAGATGAAAACACACAGATTAATCGGTGTAGAATTTTTAGGAGAGCTGCATTTTTACCTTGAGATTTGAGGTTTTTATAGTATTTCTTCCTTGAATCTCACCTTTTGATTGGTCCTGCATCCCATTCCTCGCTTCCCGATTGCTTTCTTCTTTGTCTCCAGGTGAAAACCGAAATCAGATCATGTCATGAGAAAAGTCCATTCTGAGGCATCTATTTGATACCTGTTTGTCGAGTCTGATTGGAAATTGTTGATAAACCTACAAGCCTTGCGCTCATAATTTAGCCCGCTGTTTCTGCTATCTGTCATTTTGGAACTTTAATGATAATATGTGATGTTTTTATATCCATCAAATGGTTCCCATTTTCTGAAAATTTAACTTACATCGACTGTTTAGGAGTGTGTTTTCCTATATTTTCATCAAAGAAAATCCATCTTACAAATATAATTACAAAAATACTGGCTGCTAGATAGGATAAATTGTATTTGCATTAATTTCTATGGGAAAAATTGCTTTGGTTAATGAATGAAGTCAAGGAAATGATTAAGTTTGTTAACTGAGGTTCCATTGTACCTCCAATGATAGACTCTCAAATCAAATGATTTCCATAAAAGAAGACCTAGATCTAATCCATGAAAGTATTTGTGAAACTAAAGAACAGTACCAAAAAATGGAAGGACAAATTAATAATCTAAAACAACAAATCGATGATTTATAAACAGAAAAAGAACTTATGCAATATAAAATGAATGCTTTAGTTAACGAATTCCATCATAATAATATAATATTGCATAATTATCCTATTTCAAAAAATATCTCCAGGCTAGAAATTTATAATTTTATCAAATCATTATTGAACTTACAAAATGTGTCACAAGAAGACGTTTTCAATATAACTCATTTAACCAAGCCAACTAACCTAGTTATAAGACTAACACTTAGAAATAATCAGACCTGAAATCAAGTATTTACTGCTTTTATAAAAAAGAAACAACAAAATCTACTGGAAGATTGGCAGAATAATCAGACTTTACCAGACCTTACAAAGGAGTAAAAATCACTTACTCTCATCCTATTATGAAATAAGAAAACAAAACCATCAAATATAACTACAAAATGACATCTTATTAATAGGTCGAGATAGACTAACATATAGTATTGGCACAGGAAAACTGGTTTATGTGGATACTTTTATGCCATTTTCCATGCCAACAGTAATGGCAAGTTGATATATAACAAACCAAAGAAAACCTCATCAAGAAAAAGCTACTATAAACAACCAATTATTTTCTGTTATGAACTGGAATAGCCAAGGTCTCAAAAACAAAATACTATTGCTCAACTCTCTTCAATCAAAATTTAAATCAGACATTATACATGGTATAACCAAACAAAATTGGTATAACCAATGGATGTGGATAATATCTGAATCGTTTTATAAATCAAATTTTTTTTATGATTTTATAATAGAAACAGTACCAGCACGCAAACCATTAGGTCAAGGACGTCCAAGTGGTGACCTAAGCATTTTAATAAAAAAGGATCCCTGCAAAATACTTCAAATCAAAAAAAAACCAATAACTTTATATTACTACTAATTTCAATGAATAAACCCATACTCAGAAACAAACAATAATTTAATAATAGTGATGATTGCTTACATCCTCCCAATTGCCTAGTAAAACTAATCAAAATTTTCAAAACAATAGAATTATGACAACATATCTCTCCATACATTCTCTTATTTGGAGACTTCAACTCATGAATTGCTGAAATGATGGATTCCTGGTATAATGGCCCCAATAGTATATATAGATTTAAAGTCTGATAATATGTAATTTACCAACACAAATACAGAAGCTTGTAAATGTTCACTATCTTTACAGTGTAAGTTGACCAACATTGTCTTTAGATTTCTTTTTGTTCTTTAGATTAGAAACAAACAAAAGGTTAAAACACATTTTTAAAAATTTGAATATAATATCCAAAATTTATGGTGTTTTGTGTTTTGGCTGGTTTCTGGAAAGTAGTTGTTTTTCCAGTGCTCTTTTTCTAAAAAAATTGTTGCCAATATGCATATATGACAACTAAAAAAGTTCTGTTCGAGAAAAATGTAACAATTACTAAAACAGCGTTTAATACTAGGCTACTAATTATTTTTTCTTCACACATGTACCACTTTTACTGTAACATTTATAGCTTTTCCAAATTGTTTGTACATCTCCATCTGCACTTTCTTCCTTATTTCTTGTTTTGGATTTAGTGTCAATTGCTAAATGATGTCCTCTTAACTTAGTAACCATGTTTTAATTTCTTCCTTTCAAATTAGTATTATTAGTACTTCTCCATATCTTGTTTTTTGACAAGAACAAAGCAAGGACAGACAATTACCAGATGGTATTGTCCATTCATTGTAAGAATAGATGAATCATTTTGGATGAAAAATAATCCTGGTTGTTCATATTATATTATTGATAAAAGTTATTAGCTTCCAAGTTAGTTATAAACAGGCTTACCATATTTCATTTTTCCAAACTGGGGAAAAAAAAAAATTAGGTAATAATTCATCTTATTATCTTTAAAAAGAGATATTCTTTGTTCAATGCATCTGTGAATGTACAGTTTATTTTCAATATTTTGAATGGGTTTAATAATTAAAGAGTTTCCATCTCTAAAAAACAAAGAAATAATAATAATAATTAAAATGTTTATTAACATGTTGACTAACATGACATTTTTCAGAGAAACTTCCCACAGAACCATTTTATGTTTTTATAAATATTGAGTTTCTCCTTGTCAATAGAACATGTTTTTATTCTTTCATTACATTATTATTTTTTTTATATTTTTACTTTATAATAAAAATTTAGTATTAATAAGTAACTTTCTAATTATTGTCTATTTGGCAAATCTTATCAGTTTGACATTTTCAGTACAGTAGAATAATTAATGTTGACAATGAAGAGATCTAATTGATGTACTCTTACAGAATGAACTAGGACAAAATGTCAAACCAGCCATGACTTCAGGAGAAGCTTTTAAACTGGGACATATGGTAAGCCTAGTTATAAGAAATATTATAATACTGTTGTTCTATATTTATAATTTAGAGTAAATGTGTGTAAAAGATTTAGAGAGAGAAATTATCAACAATCATTATGAAGTATACAATATCTAACGTGTGTGTGTTTTGACATCCAAAACTAAACAATAATAAAAAATTTTTAAACTTTCTTGCTGAAGCACATTAACAAAAAAACTTTGATTTTGTAACAGTACAGTAGAGCAGTGTTCCACAAGCTTTTTCTATTCGCAGCACACTCATGACTCGACATGTCTCAACATGGCACACCAAAATGTTATTCCCCTCAAAAGTGTATGATATGATACTATTAATAGAATTACATAATTCCACTAACCTATTATTATTATTATATTATTATTAAACAGACATCAACACCCGTGAGCAAATTTATTTTACATTTAATTTCTTAAAATACATAAAAATGCATGGTTTGTAATAAAGAATAAATGAACATCATCTTATTTCATAAGTGCTGCAGCACTTATGAGATAACACTTGAAATACAAGCATAAGAAGCACAGCAACTGTGATAAAAATATATAAAGGTTGAAATTAATAGAATATGTAAAAGTTCACGTCACACCTTACACCTTGTGACAGCACACTGGTTGCGGAACACTGCAGTAGAGCATCGATTATCTGAATCAATTGGGGACTGGGGTTGTTTGGAAAATTGATTTTTTGGATAACCAATTATGTACAAAAAAATATATTAACCTATCCCATGTTGAAATTTGTTCAAATCCTGGCACATTCTTAAGTACCCTCTCATGGTCGTGCCAGTACTGCCAGCTAAAATATGTACACCAACAAAAATAATATTGGAGTAGCCAAGACATAGCCAAAGATTGCAGCGCCACAGCACTAGCAGAAATTGAAATTTGCCGACTGGAAAGATTTCAGTTAATTGACATTTCAGCTGATTGACATTCAGNAACTCCTATAATTCGGTAAAACGTCATCGGGCAGCCGAGCTGCTTTCCGCCGTCCAGCGCTACGCTTTAGGTGAGTAAGTTGAGTTTACTATCGTCTGTACAGTATGTAAATTAGGTACCGTAAGTCTAATACAGCACTTATTTTATACATTTCTTGTGAAAGAAACATTTCTTATTCAACGGCCATAAAAATTATTTATATTAATGTCTCCAAAGTTCAACGAAGTTTTCGTAGAAAAATAACTTATCAGAAATCGCGGCCGCCGTTTGGTGCGCTGCTCCGCTACGAAAACAAGCTTGAGCAATGGCGACTTCGAACGGTGCACACTCGGTAAGTAATCCTACAATTTTTTGTTTATAGCGCAGTTTATACGGATTATTCCCAGAAAAATATATGTATTTTGGAAATGTTGAGTTGAATTAGTCTAGGAATCGATTAATTTTATGGAAGAAAACCTTTCAAACAGTCGTAGTCCGTAAAGTGCATACGTGCCAAGCTGTGATTGGCAAGGACTCGTACAAAATGGATTCATAAAGAATGGAACGTATCTACCGTGTTATAGGGGGGTCGACTGTATATATTAAATTAGGGAAAGGTGGACCAATGTAGCAGGCCCATTATGGGTTCGGCCAGGCCCACAATGGAGCGATCGGGTGGTGAGGGACGGGACCCGACACATTCGAACGGATCGTTCCCCGAAAAATTCTTGGGGATTCCTTAAGCTTTAAAGAGGATGAACAAAATCGTGTCCCCCCACACAATAGCATTTATATATGCAGAAAAAAACCCCGATTTTTTATGCATTTCACGACTTTTCGAGGTCTCCTAAGTCAAAAAATTTAAAACTCTAAAAGGTCAGTTTTTGACCGATCATCATACATTCCTTCTGACAAAGTAATCCTCATCCAGAAAATGTTCTTCATCGCTGCCATTTCCACAATAGAACAGTTAAATAGTGAGGAACGTTTCCTGATATTCTTGGAACGGCTGCAATTTTCAAAATTGGAGACAACCTGGCCTTTTCATAATGTTATACTGGTGTATTAATACAGTCGAATTTCGGTTTTCGAACGCCTCAGTTTACGAACAAATTTTGAACGCCATATTTGACTGTATTAGATATTTTTTACTTTCTATAAACTTTATTGTACGATAGTTCAAACAGACATTTACGTGTGATGAATGTATATTATTTAAGTTAGATCAATCGGTGTTCATATTTCATATTTCATTCACAAAGATTTTCTGTAAGCTCACACACGTTATACGAAACTGCATCTATTCGTATACTGTACTGTACATCGTACTATGGTGAGAATTATTGGAATGTTTACCATAACCACGGAATTTTTTAATATGCTAATAAAACAAAAAAAAATCTAGTGTAACGTTTGAATAAATTTCTGTTTTTTCTTTTTTTACTTATAGAAATGATCAACAATTGCTACCAGAAGTTGAAGTACAAATACATCACCGAGTGTTCTTACATGAGATCATTTTTATGGAAAGGAGAGAGATTCGATTTTCCATTTAGTATTTTAATTAAATTAAAGTGAATAATTATCAAAGCAACATTCTTCCTAAACTTAAGATGAGTTTAACTTCCTTTCTCGGGACGACTCGTCTTATTAATATTAACTTTTCACTTAATAACGGAAATGTGGTTGTATGAATTGTCTCCAAAGTTAATCGCTTAATCAAATTAAATGTTAAAATTAATTTTAATTCATTATAATTTCAAGACTGCTACCATTTTTACATAATATTTTCTATTCGCGTGTAATTTAGATTTATTTTTCAAATGTAAAAAATTAATTTATTCGTATTTTTCTTCGAAATTTTAATATTTCTATTAATTTATTGCTTAAAGTGAAAATAGCTTAAGTGTCTTATATCAAAGCAGCCTTAAATGGCTTTACTTGGAATTGTGCCCAATATAATCCTATGTTTTTAGAGTTCATAAATGTACTGTATACTAAAAACATCTTGTATTTTTTAAATAATAGGTATAATTCTAATAAAAAAATATTACAACGCCACGAGAAGTTAAATAAATAAATAAATAAATAAATTATCTTTAGTAATTTTTTTAAACTATTGAATATTAACAACAGAAAATTTAAAAAATATTTTCATTATAATTGTTACAATAAAAATAACTTTAAAAAATTTTAAGTTTTAAGTTATTTTTTAGTTTCTCACTTATTTTAAGAAAATTATAATTCAGAAAATTTATAAGACAATTATTTAAATGAAATACAATGAATTTTATTTGAATATCTTCCTGAAATGGAACTAATTATGAAATTATGCAAAATAATTAAAAAATTAACTAAAAAACTTATTTAAATTTACAAATAGAAAATTCCTTAAATAAAAGTTAGAAAAGGAGTGGATGAAACCAGTTTAGAAAGCAAAAACATACTAGTTCTTTTCTTCTTTGAAAGGTAATCAAGATCTTTATGTGGAAGAGGCTTGTAATTTGGTTGAATAGGAGGTAACGTTGATAAAATATCTACTTCATCTAATGGCACAAGTTTGGACTTTAATAAAAAAAAAATTATTTCATTAATAATAGATAAATTTTCAAACTTAATAATAAAAATAATATGATGATAAATAATTTATTTAATACAATATATTTATATAGAAAATGGTTTTATACATATAAAATTCATTAGTAATAAATTAAATACTGCAATTGATATAAAAATAAAATCATTTAATTATTCATTTTAAAATGTAATAATAAATTAATTTCCATTGAACTGAATTCATTCACAAAAAATAACATGATAAAAATTAAAAAATGTGTTCCAAACTGGCATTGTAATAACTATCGATGATTATAACGTAAGCTTATATATACTGGAAGAGGAGATCGGACTGGAGGTCTGGGTAAGGCATCTGCATTGTAAGCAGGCATTGTGGGTTTGAATCCTGCTCCGGGGCAATTTTTTCTTCCAGTAGTTCTAAATTATTTAAATTAATTTATTAAAAATTATAATTATTAAAGTTATTAAGAGATGGTGCCTTACTCCTCCCTCTAATGCCAAATTGGTTGCATAATTTATTGACAAGACTATGTCTTGTTTATAAAATCATACTGCCAGTTTATGTTACCAGCTTAGAGGTATGAAGAAGCACATGTCAAGATTTGATATTTGGAACAGAGTATTAGGTGCCCAAATCATTTGCGCAGAAAAATCCAGACTTGTAGGTAGTCAGGGGACCAAGAACAGAGTCAAAATAAAATACAAAATAATGATCCTCTTCTACAAACAGGCAAAACAGTCACCTAAACCTCACCCCACCAAAGTCAAGTGGGGGAGAGTACCACCCACAGTCATTCTAAGAAGTGAACTCTGACCTTTGGACTGAACACACAGTTTCTTCTATGTTAAATAAAATTTGTAATCTAATTTTGTAAATTTGAGAGTGCTTCAAATATGACATTAAAACAGGGTGTTGTTACAAGTAGGTTTTTTAACATTATCTAGTGTAGTAAAATCGTGGGACCAATAAAAATTTGACATTATATTAGGGTTGTCGTTACATCCGATGACGTTATAATCGGGTTAAACTGTATATTGTTTGTGCAAAATAAAAAAAATAATTTCGGACAATACAATAGCCATGATTATTTTTTTCAAAAACGGGAAATTTTTGTTACGCATCGACAAAAATTCAACCCAGGCCAACACGCAGCGGAGAGAAATTTCAAAATTGGATAGGTTAATAGTAGCAGTTATATAACCCAATCTAATCTGGCAATTGCTTGGCATTAATCTAAAAATTGGATTAATGGACATTTATATTTGACATTATAATTGTATTAATTAAAAATAAAATTTTCTTGTAAAAACAGCAGTTAAAAAGAATATACTAATTATATTTTTTATTTAGTATAATACATTTAAAATTACTAGAATTTATTAAAATAATTAACTTTTATATAACATATATAATATTTACTAAAAATATTTTTTAGATAGATACATTATCTATCAAAAATATTGGATATCCCAACTGTACACTAGACAGATGATGTCCTGTCATCTCAATTTATTGTAGATCATCTCTTTCTTCTATCCTTGCCTCAGCCCTCCTAGATGTAGTTTCCATTAATCCATACAGTATGGGTAATAAAATTTTCTCCATTATTCTTGGAATATGTTGAACAATTTAGAGTTTGAGATTCAGCAATGAATGTTGTCAGTGATATAAAGTATGTAAGATTAATTAACCTAGTGAATAAACCTTATATCACTCACAGCACCAATTCATGTTGCAGATATTCAATAAGATAGAATGGAATTCTGAGCTGTCTAATCCTTCTGGCTAAACTCCAATCCCCCCATTCCAAGCTAAGGTAGGGGCTGTAACATAACATTACGCATTGTTATCCTGAAAATAATACTTGTTATCTCCATAGAATAGCTATAACAATGCAAATATTTTATTATTTAAGTCACAACAAATGCTCATATTAAGGCTACTGTATACAACATTCTATGAGCTTGTGCCATATCAGCTGAAATAGTTCCATAACATTGGTTCACTACTACTAAAATGACTGTGGATACAATGCATTCAGATAGCATGCATTCCTCAGTAGTTGCCATATCCAAATGTATCCATTTGAATGGAAGTGTGTAAATCCTCTTCACCTCATATATGGAATAATCAATAAATAACTAGTCAATGATCACAGCAGTTCAAAGATAATATGCATAGAATGCAATCTGGTGGGAATTGAGAGGTATAGATAAAGTAAACAGTGGCACAATCCATAGGAGGCCATTTAAGCAATACCTGGCAATGCCTTCTCAAACTCAAGAGAGCCTTATATCTAATGTGACCAAACATCCTGAATTAACTGAAACAGTCCCAGCTTGGAAAAATGTCATGAATTACCCTGTTTTTACTTATAAGTAAATAGTTCATATTTAAAAAATTAAAAACATTTAATTTTTAAAAAATTGCTTTGAAGAAATCTTTTTTAACATTTACTATATACAGAATATTCTATCCTAGTAAACTACTACAATGTTACTTATGTAGAGATACAGCTAAGCATAGTATTACTGTTACCTAAATCCTACACTAAGTACTAACTGTCCTGATTTCAAACCAATAAGGTTATTATATTGGTTGCCTAGAATTAGGACTTTTTAGACTAATAAGTATAAACACTTTTGGCATGTTTTCATATATCATACAATGAAAATTAATATGTATTAAATATAATGCTATAAAATTATTTTCATAATATAAGTAAAATCATACATAAAGTCACATTACTTGCATAAANGTAAGGAAAACCATCCTTATCCATATTTATTTTTGATTTTAAGATAAAAATTGTAAAAAGAAAAGTTTTGCCAAAAGGGACAACACAGTTGTTTAGATTTCAAACTATAATCTGATTGGAGAAGTTATGGTTACTAACTAATTTGTTATAAAATATCAGTTCTTTTTAGTTTTCAGTGTGATGTTGTAAGCTTTAAAATTGTTTTTTAAAAGCAATTTGTTCCTGTTGACTCTCTTGTGAGTTTCTTTTGCAACAATATTTAAACATGTTGAGATTATAGTTTAATATCTATTAAACTAATGTTTAAATATTTAGATAAAATAGTATTTGTAAATATTCTTAGGTTTCTACTTTGTTTTAACAATATAAAATGTGGGGGGAGTGTCTTGACCACTGAGGCTGCTGGTGACTTTTCCTTCGTACTTCAATAACACACAGGAAACTCATGAATTAGTAATCCTTAATTAATTTAAATTGTTAAAAAGTAATTAGAATTAAATATAATTTAATATCCTTTGAAAGAAAACTAAATATTGACCAAAATGCAATGTTCACGGTAAAGCGTGGAAGGCCACAATTAAACTGTACCAAACTGGAAAGCAGAAAAGATTGATCAATAACTCCAAACTCATAACAGACTTCAATTTGCATGTAGATAAAGACTCACAGGAATCATCCTCAGCTGTTATTGATCCTCATATCAACATAATATCACAGAGTCCACAGAAATCCCCAGGTGAGTCAAACGTATTTTGTCCTGCCTCATTAACTAATCCAGGCAACTCACTAGACATTTCAATGACAGTTTTATGGAACAGAATCTCAAATTTAATAAATACAGTGGAACCCTGGTTAATGACCAAATTGGTTAACAAACTTTTATTTTGCAAAAATTTTGTCTCGGATAACAGATGAAATTCAGATAACGAACTTAACAGTTTTTTGTGTCAAATTTGTAAGCTTGCCAACTTTTAGGGTGGATCAACTGATCCACTTAAGTCGGCAAGCTTATAAATCATTCCTCGGTGATGGTCTACAGTCCATTCGTACATTGATGGTGGTGGAGGAGACAAAGATGACAAGTATTTTACAGTGAAAATTGTTTATTAGAACGGGAAGATGCTTACATATTTGAAGTAGTTGGAAATGGTTTATCTACAGTATTTTTCCCGGCACTGAGGAGCAGCATATCACTGGTCCTATGATAATGCAAGCTGATCAGTCATAGCCCAGGAGTGGACAAGATGGGTTTGCTCAGTCACAGAAGCAATGGTAAATGATGGGACTGCAGCGACTGGAGTGGTCTGCGAAACACAACACAAATTTTAGCGAGCACAACTTCAGGTTTAATCCAGATGAAAACACACAGATTAATCGGTGTAGAATTTTTAGGAGAGCTGCATTTTTACCTTGAGATTTGAGGTTTTTATAGTATTTCTTCCTTGAATCTCACCTTTTGATTGGTCCTGCATCCCATTCCTCGCTTCCCGATTGCTTTCTTCTTTGTCTCCAGGTGAAAACCGAAATCAGATCATGTCATGAGAAAAGTCCATTCTGAGGCATCTATTTGATACCTGTTCGTCGAGTCTGATTGGAAATTGTTGATAAACCTACAAGCCTTGCGCTCATAATTTAGCCCGCTGTTTCTGCTATCTGTCATTTTGGAACTTTAATGATAATATGTGATGTTTTTATATCCATCAAATGGTTCCCATTTTCTGAAAATTTAACTTACATCGACTGTTTAGGAGTGTGTTTTCCTATATTTTCATCAAAGAAAATCCATCTTACAAATATAATTACAAAAATACTGGCTGCTAGATAGGATAAATTGTATTTGCATTAATTTCTATGGGAAAAATTGCTTTGGTTAATGAATGAAGTCAAGGAAATGATTAAGTTTGTTAACTGAGGTTCCATTGTACCTCCAATGATAGACTCTCAAATCAAATGATTTCCATAAAAGAAGACCTAGATCTAATCCATGAAAGTATTTGTGAAACTAAAGAACAGTACCAAAAAATGGAAGGACAAATTAATAATCTAAAACAACAAATCGATGATTTATAAACAGAAAAAGAACTTATGCAATATAAAATGAATGCTTTAGTTAACGAATTCCATCATAATAATATAATATTGCATAATTATCCTATTTCAAAAAATATCTCCAGGCTAGAAATTTATAATTTTATCAAATCATTATTGAACTTACAAAATGTGTCACAA